CTATAATATGAGCACTACATACAAGTTATAACTAAGGTATAAAACACCCCACAGATCTCGTCCCCAGGAGCTCATCTGAGTGAGAGAGGTAAGACCTGTAATGCAGCTGGGAAATGGTACAGGTAGGAGCTATGAGGCGGCCCCTAGTGGCCCCTACCGTGGAACCTCAACCACTGGCCCCCACAGGCTAGGACGCTGGACATGCCTGTCTGGGTGAATCCTGAGCAAGGGGAGTGGCTTCCCTAGCTGTTCAATGATGGAGTCCAGTTGACGGGGAAGGTATCTCCCAGCAACACTAGTTAACTTTCATGTACTCTGCCTCCTAGCTCCTATTCCTGCCCGCCTAACCCCCTCGATTTGCTGGGACTCCTTGACTCACCGTACCAGCTCATTTCCTTGAATGAGCCAATCTCATTGAAGGTTCACATGTCACCTTTTCAATATTTTTATCACCTGATTCTAACATTACCAGATTTTTCAATTTTGTTTGAAAAAAATGCAAAAGCAAACAAGTAAATATATATTCATCTTTTTGTTCACAGATTTTAATGGGTATTTGTTTTTATGACATGCCATTCTCACTTGGCTAATTGCAGGAGTGAAGCAATTAACTAGAAACACATCACATGACCAGACCAGTAAGCTTGAAATTGCAGCATACGCGGATTCACATAACTTTCAAATGAATGTGAGGCTGGATTAAACACACGTGGGAAATAAAGTACACATTCCAGTGCAATAAATACACCTGTGGAAATAACATTGAATTTTGAAAGGAGTAAACAAGACAATGAAATGAATCACAACGCAAGGTCAGCAGTCAGTAACAACAGAAAGTTACGGAACATACATAAAGTGACACACTAGAAAAGTGAGAAGGTGCCATGTGCATCTAGAGCCGAGGATAGATTTTCACCCCCCCTCCCCTAGGCTCCAGTGCAACTAGTTTTTGAACTCATAGCCGCTCTTTTCCAACATTTTAATTCACGACTTATTTTTGACAACTATGTGCTAATTTCTGGGAGTATATAAAATTAATAGATGCATAGTCCTTTGTTCACAGGGGGTTTGGAAAACAGCAGTTTGGGCAGCCACTCCATTCCCATGGAGAAGCCAATCTGAACTTATGGGACAATACTGCTCAGCAGCCGAAAATCTGCTACCGGAGCATCTGAGGAGCAGGATTCTTGCAAGTGGTATGCTTTGATAGAAAAAAGATATATGTTTGGGGCGCCTGGGTGGCTCCGTCGTTAAGCGTCTGCCTTTGGCTCAGGTCATGATCCCAGAGTCCTGGGATTCCGGGGTCCTGGGACTGAGCCCCGCGTCGGGCTCCCTGCTCCGCAAGAAGCCTGCTTCTCCCTCTCCCACTCCCCCTGCTTGTGTCCCCTCTCTCGCTGTCTCTCTCTCTGTCAAATAAATAAAATCTTAAAAAAAAAGAAAAAAGAGAAAAGGTATATATTTAAAGAAGTTTAGCCTAAGTTCATCATGGTCTGTCTGTTCCTTTCTTAATCAATGTCAGTTTGTAGAAACTCGTGGCTCTATATGAAAGCCATAAAATGCATTTTGTTTTGAAAAAAGTCAAGTTTTATGTAATTCACTCCCTTGTTCACAGACATAGGAAATTAGAATATAAGGAAGATGGTAATTTTGGAAAGCGTGTCTCAAATAGAAAAATTACAAGATATTTGAATATATATGAATTTTTAGCATGCTAAAAATATAAGTTTAGATATATTATCTTCAATTATTTAAAATACTTTCATTTTCGGGCGCCTGGGTGGCTCAGTTGGTTAAGCAACTGCCTTCGGCTCAGGTCATGATCCTGGAGTCCTGGGATCGAGTCCCACATCGGGCTCCCTGCTCAGCGAGGAGTCTGCTTCTCCCTCTGACCCTTCCCCCTCTCATGTGCTCTCTCTCTCTCTCATTCTCTCTCTCTCAAATAAATAAATAAAATCTTAAAAAAAAAATAAAATAAAATACTTTCATTTTCTTAAAAGATTTTATTTATTTGAGAGAGAGCAAGAGAGAGCATGAGCAGGCGGGAGGGGCAGAGAGAGAGGGAGAAGCAGACTCCCCACTCATCAGGGAGCCTGATGTGGGGCTCGGTCCTAGGACCCTGAGATCACGACCTGAGCCAAAGGCAGACGCTTAATGACTCAGCCACCCAGGCGCCCCTCAGTCCCTCATTTTAATTCCAAATTATTCTTGCTTTGATATTTGGGTGATAAAGCTTCCCAAATTTCCCATTAAAAACAAAACAAAACTAACAGTTATTAGGCTTTTTATTTCTTAATATAAAGAAAAGATCACAAAACCATGGCCCATCATTTCTTAGACAATAGATGAAAAAAAGAAAAAAAGTAATCCATGGGTATGGTCAGAAAATTCAAAAGGTCCAGAAATGCACAAAATGAAAAGTAAAAGCCTTCATTCCTTTCTCTCCCCACTCCTATGGCTCTCCCCAAAGGTAATCACGTTTCCTCTTCAGCTTCTTTTTTGTTTTTAACCTAAGCTGAAAACGTCTGGAGTTTCTCCCTCCAAGCCTAAGGCAAGTTCTGCCATCTCTATGCCAAACGGGAAGACTGGTTTTCAGCACCAGTGCCAGAGCACCCCTGCGGTCTACACAAATGGTCCAATGTCACCTCTGCACTGTCCAGGGCTCCTGTTTTCCTGGGGTCTGTCATTCTGATCATCCCTTCGGTACTAAGGAGCCTTGCAAGCAGGAAGACAATAGAAATGGTGCTTTTCTTTGAGTGTGCCAATCTGTGCCAATGTTTCTTTAAGATAACTTCTTAGAAAAATTTCTCAGCTGGAGGGAATATTTAAATTTAATAAATATTGCCAAATCACCTTCTGATAATATACAATTTGCACTCCAGCTAATAATACAAATAATATATGGGTACCTGCTTCCCTTTACTGTCACAAATGCAATTTTCAACTATTTCCTATGTGAATGATTAAAATTTCAGGTTTATTTTGCATTTTATTTAGTTAGGAATGAAGGGTGACTATCTCAGGTAAGTGGGCCATTAAAATGTTTTTAATGGATTATGTCCTTTGTCTATTTCTATTGGTTTTCAAAAAATTTTAAGGAGTTCTTTGTACTTTAGGGTTAAATAGTGCTTTGTCAATATTTCATTCATTCAGACACTTGGGTTAAAACAGGAAACAAAGTAATCCCCACCTTTAAGGAAGTTAAATTCTAGTAGTGGGATACAGAAAAAAAATTTACACACACACGAGGTTGTGGTAGGTGCTTTGGAAAAAACAAAGCAGGTAAAGAGGGACAGAAAGTAGCAGCAGTGTGTGTGCAGGGGGATGCTGCTGTGTACAGAATGGCCAGGGAAGACCTCTCTCATAAGGTGGGGACTACTCTCTGAAGGGAGTAATCCATGTGAAGATACAGGCAGAAGAAATGGCAGGCTAAAAGACCATAAAGAGAGAACCTAGGAGGAGGTGGAGAGGCTAGAGAGGAGTGAGTGAGGATAAGAAGAGTCAGGGAAGAAGTCAGGGGATAGTGGGGCAGACTGGTAGGGTCTCACAGGCTGTAATAAGGGTTCTGTTATGACTGGGGGTGGGTAGGGAAGCACAGAGATCAGTTATAAGACCGTGAAATAATGCAAGTGAAAGATGATGCAAATATATGTTGCAAGTTATTTTTCCTAGTTTCAGTTTATGGGTTTTTTTTTTTTTTTTTTGAGGGGAGAGATAGGTAGCCATTAGATTTTGGTTTTTATCTACTATAGTAATAAATAGTGATATTCTTCCCTATACCTTGGTTTTACATCACAGCGACAAAAGATTACAAAGTCATCTAGTATTTTATATTTTCTTTTTTTTCAAAGATTTATTTTATTTATTTATTTTTCAAAGATTTATTTATTTTAGAGAGAGAGCACGAGCAGGTGGGGCAGAGGGAGAAGGAGAGAGAATCTCAAGCAGACTCTGCACTGAGCATGTGTGTGCGGAGCCCAATGCAGGGCTCAATCTCACGACACTGAGATCACGACCTGAGCCAAAACCAAGAGTCGGATGCTTAACCAACTGTGCCACCCAGTCGCCCCTAATATTTGACATTTTCATTTTCTTCCATTAACGTTTTTGATCTAAGATGGTTTTGCAGATTAGCAGTGAAACAGGCAAGCCCACTGCATACGGCTATGCAAACAAGGGCAGCAGGCTGACAGGCTAAGTGGGGGTTGAAATCCAGTAAGGCTACAGTACCCTGGGAGGTACAGAATCCACTAGAGGAAGGGGCCTTTGTCTAATTTGCACAAAAGTATGAACTCGTGGTGGCACTGGTGACAGAGTTCAAACTCTAACCCATTATTTTAACACCAGTTATTGAATACCCTATCTTTTCCCACACTGATTTGAAATGCCACCTTTGTTCTATTAAGTATCCATAGCTTCTTCTGTCTTTGGCGGAACCAAGGACCTCATTAAAGTCAAAGTTTGCTATATTAAAAAAGTTTTTAAAATACATCTTCCTCACTAGGGAAGTCTTAATTTTAGAGACTGGCAGCAAATTTTGGCATGTTAGAAAGAGTTGGTGCAGTTGGAGGAAGAATCCCACATTTTCCAATGTAACAGAAAAGAAGCCTTTCTTTGGTGTCTTTGCTTAAAGACTTTAGCTTAAACACATCAAGGGTCATTTCAAAGAGCCCTGTGCTAACCATCTGGAAGGCTTTCTTACCTACTTTGAGATAATAGCTCAACTAATAGTCTAAAGTCCTACTCCTATAGGAAAACCTTTTTATTTCCAGATTCAGGTTTGGCATCAGTCAGAGCACTATGACTTGGATGGAAGGTTTCTTATTCAAGTGGCACAGGAAGACGAGGACTCTAACAGTGGTACTGGAGATTGGTGGGTGCAGACCTCGTGAATGGTGAGGCACTATAATGTTCCATGGTCTCTTTTCAGACAAAAGTAAAAATCCTGTCTTTTCAGCTGTTTCCCCTGCCAGGTCCATTGTTATGCTACTTCTGCCTTAGTGAGACAAGAAATAAGACTCATTTGAAGCTTCTGCCAAAAAACAGAGGCTTCCTTCTTCCAAGACAAACAAGCATAAAATACAAGGGAAATGGAAGCACGCCCACTTTGTGGTTTTATGCCTAGGCAAAGAGGAAACTAAGATGTCACAGGTCCTAACTGTTTTCTTCCCTCTACAGAGAAGGGTCAGGGTTGGAGGAGATGGGGAATGGAGGGAGAGGTGGCAAAACAGTTGCAAGTTCTCTAATAAAGGGACTTCCCCAGATTCTCTTCCCTCTCCTCAGAGCTGACTTTCAGAGACAAAGCTCTGGTTTTTCAGCCTTGCTGCCAAGGTTCTTGAAGAAGTCACTAATTGATAGTTAAGCCTATGTTAAGAAAGAATTTAAATTTACTGTTCATCCTCAGACTAAGGGTTTTATGTGTCGAAACGGTGGACTGAGAAATGAGGAGAGCAGAGGGGTAGAAGGGCTCAATTACAGCAAAGATACAGATATATAATTTTACATAATCAGTTGTACAAGAAGCAAACGTGAAAATGTTTGAAAAGTTGTGTTTTGGTTAAGAACAAAAACTTCTAAGTTGATTATCTTTCAGACTCAAGTCATATTTCAGTGCATCAACTATATATGCTTAAATATTTTTAGTTGAGATATACTTAGAATTTTCTGCTTTCCAGCAATCTTAGAGCAGTAACAGTGACAACTAGAGTAAAGAAAAAAAAAATCAGGCACCAGCAATGGAGGGAGGCACAGTTGAGAATTTTGATATTTGGATATGAAATAGATGATTTTCATTGCCTCTTTCTTCCAATTTTCCTCCCTCTGCCCAAAGCCAGGTATAATCCATGCTTCCGTTTGGGGATCTAATACTTCTTCTAGATCTAGTCTCTCCCAAATTATTACATGCTTCCAAGTTATCTTTTTATCCTGGCCTCTCTCTCTTCAAATCTTCCAATCAACAAAACTTCCTTCCATTCCTTTATTAACTCTTGCCCCACCAAGTCATTCTGCAGGTAGTAGAATGGTGATTGTTCTATTTCTGAAAGGTTGCTATACCCCATTCAAAACCTTTTCTCTTCCTTTTTAACAGCCACAGTCCTAATCAAGAGACCCAGTAGCCGCAGCACCACGAGATTATATAAATAGATGAAAGGGTTTGGTGGATAAAAAAATGAAAATATTAAAATAGAATCAGAACAAACAACTTCGCCACTTGAAATTTAAGAAAATTTGGCCTTGTATTAAATCATTTTATCTACTTTTAAATCTAGACCACTTAGTGGAAGGTCAGGAACACCCAAAGGAATGGTCGGCTATTCTGCCTTGTTATGATTTTATCATGGCAGTTCTATGTCTAGGATATATAAATTTCCATGGTACAACAGCTCCTGTCTGTGAAATCAAGCCATTTATTATCTTAGTTGGCAAAAAGTAGATGAGATGTTAGAAGCACAAATTTAACAAATACTATTTTATTACTTAAAAATACATAGTGATCAAAAAAAACACACATAGTGATCCTAAGGGTACATGTCACAGATTACAAAAGAAAAATGTACAGGGAAAAGTAGAGACAAATGTGTTAAATGACAATAAGGTACCCATTCATATGGAGTCCATTAAGAATAAAACACTTCTTTCTTAGTTAGACAAGGCCAAGAATAGATACAGCGCTATGCAGAAAATGCCAGTTAACCTAGAAATATACCTTTACTCAAAAGTAGCAATGTGTTGGTAGTGTATCTAAACATGTCCTAAACTGAATTACAGCATACACAGGTCCAGTGTTCCACAATACAACCACTGGTTTTAGGCAGGAATCTGTGAGAGATTTGGTTGCCTATCCTGCTGAAAGAGCAAAGCCCCGGGACTGATTAACTTCCCTACCTTCCACAAAGCTTTGTTCAGGTGATTTTGGAAAGTGGTGTCAAACACCCCACTCATTGCTGCTCCAAGTTCCCTCAGAACAGACACTGTGGACTCATCACTGGCATTCAGAATCCGTACAAAGAATTTACTCCACAATTCACCATCTTTTAGCCTAAAAATATATAAAACCATTTCCATCAAGATTAGACATATAAAAGAATTCTGTATTTAAATCAGTGGTACATATATGCACTAAATGATTTAAGGTAATAGCTAGAAGTCTAGGGTTAGAACTCATTCAAGTAATCCTTTCAAAGCCCAGGGTGGAGCTGTGAAAAAGAGCAGAGAGCCATAATACAATGCACGTAAAGAGAAAGTCTCTGATCCGAATGCACCATTGCCTCTGTGTGCTAAGATGCAGCACTGCTCTACAAAAGGAAGACAAGTGAATTTTGCTCCTCGCCTCTAACTTCCCTAAAGTCTAGGTCATTAGACAGACTGCAGTTCTCCTTTTCCCCCTGCCCAGAGTCTTATTATCTTCATAGTCCTCCGAGAATCCTAAGCTTGACTGAAGTAACTACTGCTATGATGTTTAACTTCTTTGGTTTTTTAAATAAGAGAAGCTTCTATTATCATAGAAGGCAGGGTTGTTAGGAAACCCCAGCTGACCCTACCTGTTTCTGTTTGTGTTCAACCCACTTAGGACCACAGCCCACTGGAGATACCTGAATCTATCTACAGGTCTTACATTATATTTAAAGCCTATTTTTAATAAAGTATGTTTCAGAGACAAATAAGACTGGTCAAATTCTGAATTAAATAAAGAAAAAAATACAATTCACTTGTTGGGAGAAGGGGTGTTAAATTCCCAACACTGTTTTTTCTTTTTTTAAGCCAAAGAATATACAAATAAGTTGACAGATGGGGAGCTTATTCTGGGAAGTTATTAGTTATGATAAGCTAAAGTAGAACATGGGATATTTAATAAGTTTTATAAGTAGGCTTGAGGGAATACTACGGTTCTGAGACCAAGCAGCTCTTATTAAGGGAGCATTTACTTCTCCGAGGAGACTCAGTTCTCTGCTTTGGTTCTACCCATTCATTAAATAAATAATAGCCTAAAACTAGTATATAATTTAGAAATTCAATTCTCAAGAGATGCTTGTTAACTTTGATAACAATAGCTATTAAAAAGAGGTATAAGACTAACATCAGTTGATTATAAAATTATTCTCACAAAATGTTTCTATTAACACTTCTAGAATGAGAGGCTTCTGTACCAGTCACAGTCTATAGGATACATCGAGGTCCAGAATGATGTCCTGAAGTCTGAATAGTTTGATTATTTTTAATTTGCAATTCCTTTGTTCTGCACTAGATGCTCCACTGACACTCTAGTGAAAACTGGTTGAAATTAATGGAATCATGGCATTTGGACTAACAAAACTAAGGCTGCCCAAGCAGAGGGCACCCAAGAGTAAGAGAAAATTATCTGGATAGGCAAAGACCCTGAAATCGCCAATACTTACTCAGAAATATTTTGGCTAAGTTTCCAGAGGGACCCATCCCAGAAGACCTGTAGGTGTTCCTTGAACAATAGTAAATGTGCTAAATCTGCTATACCAAACAGATCTACCTGAAATCACAAAAAGCACCATCAGCTAAAATAATTCTCTGCTACTATCATGGCAATCTATTTATGTAGAAAGTTTAAAGTTATTATAGTGTTTAAGTTTATCTTATGACATACATTTTAGTAGACTGTTCCCTACCCTTACCATAAAGGGAGAAGCTCCCCAAAGAAGTGATCAATAGAGCTAACTCTAGGAATTATCCTTAAGAACAAAAGATGAGAACAAAATTATCCTGAAGAACAAAAATATACAGACTGTCAAATTCAAATTTGTAGACCTACTGAATGTGCATGGACTCTAGCTGTGATCTAAACGTGGTCCACATGACAAGTTCAAGTTCATGATACATTTTCAATCAGCAAATGCCAAACGTCCAGAGAGGAGTCAGAAGGGATTTTGTATATAACGCTACCATACAAAGTACTTTACTCTTGTAACGTTCTTTTTATATACATTATTTCATTTAATCCTCACAACAATTCTGATACACACAGAGCAGATTGTTATCCTTATTTTGCAAAGATTACAGAAAATTACTTACAAAAGATCACACAGATGAGTGATAGAAATGGCCCTGACACTTAGGTTACTGAGTTAGTCATGTGTCTGCACGTGTATGTGTACAGTCTTCAATGCTGTGACAGAAAAATGGTATATTTTGCTTGACTTGGTGAAATTTGAAAACTAGGTCATCTATTCCAGGGGAGACAATATCAGTAAACACTAGCTTTCATGGTTTATCTATGGAAGAAAGAGATTAAGAAACCCTCTCCATGTTTGCTCAGTCTTGTTTTACACTTACCTGGTAGGGAGAAGAACAGTTAGCCAGGATCTTTTGTCCTTCCAGGATGTGTACAGTCCGAAAGCCGCTGAGGATAAAAACATCAGGCTGCACCCTGAGGTCAACACTGTAGGAAAAGTCCACTATCTTCAAAGCTTGATCATTCTTATTATAATCATAGGGATCGTGGATTCTAGCCCAGATTTAAGAGAAAGAGATAATAAAAATAGGCCATGAAAGAAGCTGCAGAGCTGCTCTTTAAAAAAAAGAGAAAAAAAAGAAAAAAAAAGGTATTGCAGGTGTGTCTTAGCTATACCAACAGCTCCCTCCAGTGGCTAGCTATGAAAATGCAACTGTAAGAGCCCTGGCAGTGTCCAGCTAAGTGGGGAATGTTGAGATTAGCCTAGTGACACAAGGATATTTAAACCATAATGTACAGCCACCACAGAATATTTATCATATTATATTTATTATATAAAACAAGTATTGGAAGTAGAGTACAAGCCTCTGTCTTATACTAGACACACCAATATGGATAACAGCAATGATTTACACACTGATGAGAATTATGGAAGAAATTAAGCTTTTATAGATGTCATAGCCTTTCTTGTTCACTACTATAGATTAGGCTTTCCAAGTGTCATTCAGATTCCTCCTTCTCAAGAGTTTAACTGAAATAACAATAAGGCTGTTTTTGTGTAAGATGCCACCTATACTATAAACTATCCTGTTTTTATTAAACGAACACCATATTCTCTCTTACTCTTATCTGTAATGCAAACCATTATTTACTAACCCCCAAAACAAACAAACAAAAGAAAACCTAATAACACTAACTCACTATTAATTATATTTTCCTTGGATTTATCTATCCCATGCAATAAAGCTACTCTCCAAGGAGACATATAACTATTTATGTGAGAGAAAAGAATGAATGATTTTTATGTTCCTTGTTTCTGCTTTCCTCAGTTCCCTCAAATCCCTGATTAGTATCAGTGATAGATGCTATATTTTTAAATATAGGCTTTGACTAGTCCCATCACATACCTCCACAGCACAGAATGATATATTTTACTTTAAAATTTACAATTGCTCCCATTTTTCCATAGCACAAGATACAACATTTTTTGGCCATCATAAAACTATTTATTTGCTGCTCTGTGTTCACCCCTTGCATTTGATGGCTAAACTGGGTTTAATTTGAACACTAAGCCCTTTTTCTTGGCATAGTTTGCATTTGCACTCTGGTTTAGCCACTTCTCTTGGCAATTACCTCAATTTGGCCTGACTTAAGCTTTGGTTTTGAAACTGAGAAGTGCCTTGGTTTTGCTAGCATCCTCACTCGATCCGCACTGGTCCCACTCAAAGAAAGACTACACAATCTATTTCACAGTCCTCCAAATCTTCATATTTTATATCTCTTCTTGCCAGGAATCATCACAATACTCAGAGTGGTCAATTTTTTTTTCTGAATTAATGTATTTCCTCAATGTATTTTTTTCTTTGAACTCTTTTAAATTATTCCCCTTGATTATTGACTTTTAGATGGCAAATACTTTAACATACTGTGTTCCTCAATATGGCACTTATTGAGAGGCAAAAGGAAATGGAAACTGTCCATATTTTAAGAGAAAGTTGACAGAATTTTAAGAGAATGAAAAGGACCAACCTGTTTCTAAGAATCAGACTCCTCGGACTCAAGTCACCATGGACTATTTCTGCTCTGTGCAATTTCTCCACTATTGTCAAAAGGTTATAAATAACCAACACTATTATTTCATGGGTAATAAGTTCACTGTGTTCAAGAAGATCCTAGAAACAAAGGACAGAAAATTCACTATTTCTTAAGTTGCGGTGACTGTACTTACACCCAGTACCTTGCCACCTGCCGCTTTGTACTCCTTGTTCTCTACTAGGATCTGGCTCTTTCACAGGCTGGGTCTTCGTCCCAGTTCTAACAACACTGCTCTCCTCTAAGACTATAAGGATTTATTGAATGAAGAGCATCGAGGATTAGCCAGGACCATAATAGGTGCTCTATAAATGGTAGTTTCAAAATACCCTCATTCCAACCTTTTTAGAAAATTCATATTACCATCAAAATATGCAACAACACCTCTTAAGAACATTCCAGGGGCACCTGGGTGGCTCAGTCAGTTGAGCGGCCAACTCTTGCTTTTGGCTCAGGTCATGATCTCAGGGTTCTGGGATCAAGCCCTGCATTAGACTCCACACTCAGCACAGAGTCTGTCTCCCTCCCTCCCTCTCTGCTCCTCCCCTTCCTTGGCACGCACACGCATGCACACATTCTCTCTCTCTCAGATAAATAAAATCTTAAAAAAAAAAAAAAGAACATTCCTAAGAATAAAATGATATATTGTGTTTGGGTTCTAAAAATAATCTACTGGGAGATAGCATAGATAAAACAAGAGTAGCAAAAATAGACCATTCCTTATGTAAAGAGTTTGAAAGTTACCACTCTGTCCTACCTAACAAATAAAAAGCTGAACAGACTGAAAAATCAACTCTTCTAGGATCTATAAGCATGGTGGTGGTGGTGGAGGGGGTTCCTCACACTTCTGTGAGTTTTATGTCTAGGAGCTAGATCAGGTTCTCACAGCAAATGTTGGAGAAAAATGCTCCTTGTGCTTCTAGAGGTGGAGGGAGAGAGGAACCATTTTGAAACAGGGCAGAGCACTCTGTTCTTAAAAAGCTCTGTCGTCAGGAGAAACTAGTTAACTGGAGACTAACCTGCTAGAGTATTATCTGAGCCTACTTGACCTGGGGAAGGAAATACCCAACTCCAGCCCACTCTAGCCATCATGTCCCACCTAAGGGAAGAGAAATACTTGTGAGGTGCAGTCCAGAGGCATAGGCTCACTATAAAAGAACATAAAGCACAGAATTATGCAATGCTTTCCTTCCCTTCACACCTTATCACCACATTATTAAAGGCCTATTTATAGCAATTCCTTTTACCCAGTACTTCATGTCTGGCTATCAGGAAAAATTAGGGGCGCCTGGGTGGCTCAGTCAGTTAAGTGTTGATTCTTGGTTTTGGCTCAGGTCATGATCTCATGGGTGGTGAGATGGAGCCCTGCCTCAGGCTCTGGGCTCAGCAGGGAGTCTGCTTGAGATTCTCTCCCTCTGCCCCTCCTCCCACTCACACACGTGCATGTGCTCTCTCTCAAATAAATAAATCTTTAAAAAAGACACAATTTGAAGAGACAAAGCAAATATCAAAACCAGACATGGAAAGAATATTGGAATTATCACACCAGGAATTTAACATAAGAGTGGCCATGAGCTGATGATGAACATAGTTAGATGACTGGGTCATTGCACAATTCTGTCTATTTTTGTCCATGTTTGCAAACTGACATAATAGGGGTGCCTGGCTGGCTCAGTCAGTAGAGTGTGTGACTCTTGGCCTCAGGGTCGTGAGTTCGAGCCCCATCTTTCTTGGGTATAGAGATTATGTAAATAAATTTTTTTAAAAAAGAAAAGAAAAAGAAAATTGACATAATAAAAAGTTAAAAAAAAAATACCAAAGAAGTTTTTGGTCAAAACAACTTGGGAGGGCGCCTGGGTGGCTCAGTTGGTTGGGCGACTGCCTTCGGCTCAGGTCATGATCCTGGAGTCCCTGGATCGAGTCCCGCGTCGGGCTCCCTGCTCAGCAGGGAGTCTGCTTCTCCCTCTGACCCTCCCCCCATCTCATGTGCTTTCTCTCTCATTCTCTCTGTCTCTCAAATAAATAAATAAAATCTTTAAAAAAAAATAAAAATAAAAAAAAATAAAAAAATAAAAAAAAAAAACAACTTGGGAAAGGAAAATGATCAATGCTTTTAGTTTATAATTTAATTGGTCTATTTCTAGAAGGTTAGCAGGAATCTTGCACTAAATTCCCTTGCTAAATGGAGCACAAACTCTCTATTTAAGGACTTTAAATGATATGCTTTTATATTATTCAAACCTGAAGGGTGAAGCAGTTTATATACTGGTGCCAAATAATACAACCATCTTGGTACTGGTAACAGCTGCATAAATGATCATACTCCTCATTTAAACGTTCTTTTAACTTGAGGTTGATATAAAAGTCCCATGGGACAGGTTGAGCTGATACCTGTAAGAAATTTTAAAAATAAAAGCTATTAGAATCTCTGGTTATGGCTGGCAGGTTGAAAACATTCCCTCCAGCCTTTATGATACCCCAACAGAAATAATAGTAAAGGAATGTTTTAAAAGTCATAAATCTATAATAAAAAACATAGCAACAACAAATTCTGGAAGCTGGAAAGAGAACAGTAAGAGGTAACAATCCACTTAGCTCACCAAGGAAAGCTGATTCTAGCAGTAGAGTAAGCTGAGAACAACCAAATTTACAGTACAAGACCATCTCCCCACAGTATAAAACTGATGGCACCAATTACCTAGAGAAGGGTAGAGGTGGGGCTACCACAGGAGTGACTGAACTATATTAAGGAGAAAGTTAAACCCCAGATTCCCCTGCCTCTCCTCCATTCTAGAAGACCAGAAGTTTACCCTTAGAAAGTATAAAGCAGAAGGGCTCTGGGCTAGAGGTCGCCAGGCACTGTTAACCAGGGTTGGGGGGTAGTTTATACATCAAATGTTAAGATGCACCTGTCTGCCCCTCTAGTCTCCAGACTAATTTTCCCACTTAGCTTCCAAGAAGCTAGCAACCAGGATTATATGCTCCAGAAAAGATATTAGAAGTTTTCTCTGAAGGATCTGATCAGCTCAAAAGAAAAGACCTCAAAGATTGAGGACTTTTATTGAATGGCTAAGCAAGATCTTCTTACAGTGAGGCCCAACAGCTGTCCAGGTCCTGTATACACAGAGCTTTCAATTAGCTTTTAGAGTCCCACACTTAAATATGAATAGAGAGTCAAAGACTTGAAGAAAGCCTCTAATATGAAAGACAGAGCTCAAAACAGACAAAAGGAAACAGATGATGCAGGAAGATAAAAAGTTTAAAGCATCATAAATACACACAGAGAAATAAAGAATATTCCATCTTTGAAATGAAGTGCAGAATGTTATAAAGAAGAAAATTCTGAGAATAAAAAAGAGCTCTGGCAAATCAAATGCACGACAAAAGAAATGAAAAACCCAATAACACGTCTGAAAATAAAGTTGACAAAACATTGCAGAAAGTAAAGCAAAAAGACAAAGAGATAGAAAAGGAGAAAAAAAGATAAGATTTTTAAAGGATCTCTAAGACACCCCATATCCTAATAAAAGGAATTCTAGAAGGAGAGAACAGAAGACTGAAAAGAAGAAATAATTTATTCTTTGAAGAAAATTTCTCAAAACTGAAGGAGTTCCACGTTGAAATGGCCATCCAGTGTCTAGCATATGGGCAATAATAGATTTTCACCAAAACATGTATTTGTGGAATTTCAGAATACTGGGACAATTCTGGGGATAAACAGAAGAAGATTCTACAAGGATTCAGGGAGAGGGAAAAATAGTCTTACACAAAAAATGGCAAAAGACTTTAAAAAGAAAGGCCACAAGCCAGAAGATAATGAACCTTATCTTCAAAATTCTAAGGAAATAAAGTTTTGAACCTAGAATTCTAATACCCAGCCAAACTACCAATCAAGTAAAGATGTGGAATAAAAAATTTTCTGACATGAAAGGTTTCAAAAAAATTTATATCCCATGCATCCTTTCTCGGGAGGCTACTAAAATATGAGGGCTTAAACCAAAAAGAAATAAAAATGGGAGCCAATATTACTGGGCGTCTAACATAAGAAAGAGGTAATGTGATTCCCTAGGATAATGGTGAATGGAAATGTCAAAAGGTGTGTGTGTGTGTGTCCCAGAATGTAATCTGTCCAGATTGGAGCAGGCCAGAAAATTTCAGGATATTTCTTCAAAAAGATAGAATTAATAGAATATTTAGTATGTTTGGACATATTAAGAGATTTACACGATTGCCTCTCCTTTTTGATATCTGATCCTGGCACAAAATGCTGAGTGATTTTTTGATGTCTCACCGACTTTTCTATCAAGAAGCTTATGGACTATTCAAAGGATTTGATGGTACCATGGGGCCATAGTTACTGCTTCAACCCACATTATTTTTTTAAAAGGTAACTGAAATGACAAAGAATCAGTCCCACCTTTATTATGGTTAACTCTGCGGAGTTTCTTGGTGTCACCCAGAATAATCTGTAATCTTCACATATTAGGTATTCTTGTTTAATGCAATAATCTTCATTACCTGTTGAGAAGGTTTGATTCCATTTAAAAATCACTGTGAATATGTACAGCACCTTAGTTTTTACCTCCTGGTTTAAGGGCTAAAGGTACTTTATATCTGCCAGTGAGCAGTCAGTTAGAATACTTTTCAAAATCATTTGTTAAAAGTTGAAAGAGGGGAAGACAGAATCCATATTGTTACCAGGACATGAACTTATCAATGTATCAACCTCTATAATACTGTTTCTTTTTCATTTGTTTTTTTACATCAGTTTTTTTGTTTTGTTTTAATTAAGTAAACTCTACCCCCAATGTGGGGCTTGAACTTATGACCCTGAGATCAAGAGTTGCATGCTCTACTGATTGAGCCAGCCAGGTGCCCCTATAATGCTGTTTCTTCTAATCTAAAAATACTTACTGTGCTCAAGCATCAAGCTCAAGTACAAATAATCACTTACTTGTATAGTGTCATACAAAAAAACCCCATGCGTTCAATGATACTTACCCAATTCAATTTCCTTTTCTATTTCCAACTTAGGCATTGGTCTATCTTCTATAAAAAACTCTGCAGAGGCCCTCAGCTCCATTAGAGATTTTAGTAGTTGTCTGCGATACTGTGGACACCAGGGTGACTGAGTAGGGTTGTCTGGGGGAAAAAAAAAAGTCAACAAACCCCATCACCCCCCAAACCTAAAATGGGTGTTATAAACAGAGGAGAGGAAAAAACACAGGACTGCACAATCAACACGGCTAACCTAACAAAACTCATCTACTTCAGGTCTTTATGGTGTTCAGTTAATACTGATTCATTCTAGAAATTGCACAATTTATGGGAACTTTTCTATAGAAAAAAACCACATAGCTCAGTTTGCTGAGATAAATAAGTGTTCAGTAGACATGGAGGTAGAGGTTTGCTTACAAGTGGTATGTATGAAGCTACCTGCAGTCTCATTAGTAAGCTCCAGTTTCTCAGGAATTTGAAGACATCTGATGGAGGAGGAACTTGTAACTGAGGCAGAAGACCCCGAGAGCCCAGAGGAGTGTGTGGCTTCGCGGCTGTCTTCAATAATTGGGCTGAAAGAACCACAAATAAGTCAGTCCTCATAGGGATAACATATATCACTTTATCTTTGTTATTTTATTTGATATTCATTAGTCTAATTTTCAAAGTCCATTATTTTCCTGAAACAGATATAGATTCATAATCAGAATTTATCTACCCTGGTTGACAGGCAATGCTCACCATTAGATTTTCTAAATTTATGCTTTATTTACCGAATCTATAGCAAATGCCTAATCTACATCTATTCTAAACTACTGAGAAACATTGACTAAGATACTAACTTTTTTCTTGTTTATCCTTTCTCTAGACATTTTACTCTTTAATAAGAAAAGATCAAGAAAGAAAAAGGGAAACCCAAATCACTCAAGGTGAATACATGCTAAGCAAATGTGATAAAAAGTTTATTGGACAAAAATTTGAAAATGCAATTTTAAAAGCACAAATTGGCAAATCAAAGAATATTCCTAAAACCAACATTCATTTAGCCAACTTTTAAATATATAGATTCTATGCGATTCCTTCATACCATTCTTTATTCATTTCCACCTCTCCGTTAAAAGAGACTTTATTTTTTTTTGAAGATTTTATTTACGGACATCTGGGTGGCTCAGCCATTAAGCGTCTGCCTTCGGCTCAGGTCATGATCCCAGGGTCCTGGTATCAAGCCCTGCATTGGGCTCCCTGCTTGGCAGGAAGCCTGCTTCTCCCTCTCCCACTCCCCTTGCTTGTGTTCCCTTCTCTCATTGTCTCTCTCTCTCTCTCTGTCAAATAAATAAATAAAATCTTTAAAAAAAATAAAGATTTTATCTATCTATTTATTTATTTTTGAGAGAGAGAGAAAGAGAGAGAGCAGGGGGAGGGACACAGGCAGAGGGAGAATCTCAGGCAGACTCCACGCTAAGCATGGAGCCTGACCTGGGGCCTCTCATGACCCTGAGATCATAACCTGAGCTGAAATCAAGAGTCGGATACTTAACTGAGTCACCCAGGAGCCCCTAAAACATACTTTAAAAAAGTACACTTCTGGGCGCCTGGGTGGCTCAGTGGGTTAAGTGTCTGCCTTCAGCTCAGGTCATGATCCCAGGGTCGTGGGATCGAGTCCCACATCCGGCTCCCTGCTTAGCAGAGACTCTGCTTCTCCCTCTGCCCGCCACCCCCCCCACCCCCGCCAAGCTCATGATCTCTCTCTCTCTCAAATAAATAAAATCTTAAAAAAAAAAAAGTACACTTCTAGTTGCCTATCTGAAATTAGTATCAAGCTATTTTACCATTATTTAAAATGTAATATTAAAGGAAAAACAAAATGCCTCCTGTCTCCCCATCAGGTATACTTTGCCAAGTTTTCTCAAAGACACCAGAATCCTCCGGGCGCTCTCAGTCTCATAACCATCAAAATTTACTTCTTCTAACCCTCATACTCAAATCAATTACCAAATCCCACCACCACTTTATCAGGGGGAGTCCTACTGTCATGTAAAGCACTTAGCACAGTACCTGGCAGGTAGTGAGAACCTGATAAATGATCGCTCTGACAAGCACACACAGAGTAAGAGATCACTCAAACAATCTGGTGTGTGCAACCTACAATCACCTGAGCTTCTTGACGCTGAGAGTTGGATTGTAGATGGTGCCACAAGCAGTCTGCTGGTCCGCAGAGATCTTCACAGCTAGATCCTCCTCCTGCAGCAGTCTTTCTGGATCAGAAGGGAGATCCTTTAAGGACACTATCTCATGAAAAGGAGTGGATACAAAACGAGCTGCTCTGGCGAAGTCACAAGTGTCTTCTGGGTTAGGACATATAGTTACATTCCTGAAACCTGTGATAATAGCATCCTCACTCAAGGGCTCAATTCCTGTAAATTCATCCTGAAATAAAAAACACATAAAGTTCAGCTGAAATATTTCAGTGAGAATATGGAGGACCTACCTTTTTTACTCAGAGAGACAAACATTAGGTAAGTGATTTTCAATGTAGGGTACAGAAGTAGCATATTAGAATCTCTAGGAAAGATAATTTTAAAAAGCACATCATAATATCTGAGGAAAAAAGTTTTATATCATGAAAATAGCAAACTATGTATTATCAAAAAAATATACTATGAGGATTCTCCACACAAAGGAAAAATACTGGATAATGATTTTTTGCCCAACCAATTTCACCTAAGAACTAGAGGAATAATATTTCTCTTCTGGCTTTGACCTAGAAAATGTTCTGATAATCTGCTATCCTCCTAGCTTTTAAGTTTTCTTCTATACCATATATTGAATTTGTATTTTATTTCTTAAAGATAATTCACAGTCACAATAGAAAATATGGAATACAAAGTATAAAAAAATGGAAAATTTTTAAAATATTCCTTTGTCTTTCAAAGATTTATTTATTTATTTTAGAGACCGTGTATGTGCAAGCAGGGGGAGGAAGCAAAGAGAGAGAATCTCAAGCACACTCCCTGGATGAACGCGGAGCCTGACACAGGAGGTTCCACCCGAGGACCCCGAAATCATGACCTCAGCTGAAATCAAGAGTCAGACACTTAACTGAATCAGCCACCCAGGTGCCCCCCCTTTGTCTTTCAAAGTAATACATGTTGGGGTGCCTGGGTGGCTCAGTTGTTAAGCATATGCCTTCGGCTCGGGTCATAATCCCAGGATCCTGGAATCAAGCCCCGCATCGGGCTCCCTGCTCTGCGGAGAGCCTGCTTCTCCCTCTCCCACTCTCCCTGCTTGTGTTCCCTCTCTCGCTGGGTCTCTGTCAAAATAAATAAAATAAAATAATAAAATAAAATAAAATATAAAATAAAATAAAATAAAATAAAATCTTTAAAAAAAACACAAAAAACAAAGTAATACATGTATATGGTTTAAAAAGTCAACTAGTTGAAAAGGATATATAATGGAAAAGTCTCCCTCTGGCACTTGACCCCTATCTCCCCTCCAATTTCTATTCCCCAGAGGCAACAGTTGTTACCATACACATCTGGTAGGTTACATGCATACATTTAAGTGCATGTACTTAAAAAAGGGGTTTTAGGGTCATTTGGCTGGCTCAGTTGGTGGAGCACATGACTCTTGGTCTTGGGGTCATGAGTTCAAGCTCCGTGCTGGGTGTGGAGCCTACTTAAAAAAAAATAATAATAAATAAATAAGGGGTTTTATAACAAGTGAAATTATAGCATATATGCTAGTATATTTTGGCTATCATAAATAATGTTGCTATGATCATTCATGTACAGTATTTTTAAAAATGTAAACATGTTTTTAATGGTCTTGGATATATACCTAGGAGAGAACTGCTAGGTCATACATATAGTAACTCTATGTTTAACATTTTAAGAGACTACTAAGCTGTTTTCCAAAGTGGCTGCACCATTTTATAACCCTACCCTGTATGAGCGTTCTAATTTCTCCACATCCTTACCAACACTTGTTATTTTCTTTGATTATAGCCATCACAGTGCATGTGAAGTAGTATCTCACTGTGGTTGTGGATCTACATTCTCTAATGAATAATGACGTTAATCATCTTTTCATGTGCTTAAGTTTTAAGCCAGTGTTTTTATTTTTATTTATTTATTTTTAAGATTTTATTTATTTATTTGACAGAGAAAGTGAGCGCACAAGTAGGCAGAGTGACAGGCAGAGGGAGAAGCAGACTCCCCGCGGAGCAGAGAGGCCAAAGCAGGACTCGATCCCAGGACCCTGGGATCATGACCCAAGGCAAAGGCAGACACTTAACTGACTGAACCACCCAGGCGCCCCAAGCCAGTGATTTTAATTTTAACCCGAACTTTATGAGAATTGAATGAAACAATTCATCAGTCTGCTTATATTAACTTAGGAATACTGTTCCTTACACAAACATCTGGAGACACATCCTCATTTGAGTTGATGCTTTCTGAAGTCTTGAGAATTGCAAAGGGTCTTCGTTGGGCTAAAACCCGTGGGGGATCTGCAGGATGACTGGAAAAAAAAATACCCTACTTATTTTTCTGTTCACATAGATAACAGTAACCCTTATTGCATCCTCATTTATAATAACAGAAGACTTTTAAGTATCAAAACAAAACAAAAAACTTCAAACCTGGTATTTTTTTTTTCTGTAAGAAGAAACTCATCAAAAATGGAGAAAGGTATACTGGGACCTATAGAAAAAGAGAACAGGTTGATGATCTTAAGAGTAAATGCCTATTTTTCAAGACATCTAGGTCAATTAATATTCTGTGCTGTTTGGAAGCAGAAAGGTAATCTGTTCTTTATAATGAACAATTTCAAACATATAAAAGTAGAGATCATTTAATAAGTTATCTAAACATGGATGATTGTGTCTCATACTTTATTCCCCACCACTACCACTACTTTCCAAACCCAACCCAACTCTGAATTATCTTAAAGCAAATTTAAGACATCATATCACTTCATTTGTAAATATTCCAGGATGTAATTCTAAAAGAGAGAGACTCGTTCAAAAAAGCATAATCTTCCCCCGCTCCATGGGGAGCTGGGAAGCCTGCTTCTCCCTCTCCCTCTGCCTGCCACTCCCCCTGCTTGCTCTCTCTCTCTCAGTCAAATAAATAAATAAAATCTTAAAAAAAAAAGAATAAATCTGAGTATAAATAGCTTTAGTTGTTTTTAAGATTTGATTTTACTTATTTTATTTGAGAGATAGAGAGAGAGAGGGCACAAGCAGGGGGAGTGGCAGTGGGAGAAGCAGGCTTCCCGCTGAGCAGAGAGCCCAATGCAGGGCTCCATCCCAGGACCCTGGGATCATGACCTGAGCTGAAGGCAGATGCTTAACCATCTGAGCCACCCAGGTGCCCCTATATAGCTTTAGTTTTAGACATTTTTTCTTTCTTCTGAAAAACTACTTTCTTGGCTGCTGGATACTACTGATAGGTTTAGCTCAGTGTACACTGCTAAGGTGGAAGATAGTATTTGGTAGTTAATATAAATTTAAATTTATATTTAAACTAAACATTTCAAAGCACTGAGGAATCTTACAAAAATACTCTTTTAAATGCCTATCCTATCTCAAATCATATGCTTATAACTGAATTCCATGATTCAAAGATATGATAATCTCTTAGTTCCCCCTGTCTTCTTACAACTCCCTTTACCATAATTAAGAAAAATATTTACCACATATTACATAATGTGTTTGTTACTGGTAAGTTTTTCATGACATTGTCAAATACAACTCACCTTTAGAATGAGGTTCTTGCCAAAAGTTTTCTGCAAGTGAAGTCTCCCTGTAAAGAAACTTATCTTAAAACATGTCCTAAGTACCCACAAAAAGAATTATTTAATTCTTATAAGTCCAAGAGGCTTTTCCATTAAATATAATCTTCTTCACTCTAGATAAAAAAAAATTCTAGTCTTGTCAATCCACATTCTTTAAGAAGATCGAACCTTCAGTCATTAAAATTGTTATAGAAGTATATTTGATAATAGATGTTATAACATTAACAGTATAAGCAGATTATAAAATGGCAAACTCTCATTTTTATCAAATAAAACAAAAAACAGAACACATAAGGATATACTTATGTTAATAGCAGTAATCTCTTGGTGGTAAAAAATGGGTGGTTTTATCTTTAAAAAATTATATTTGAGGAGTGACTGGGTGGCTCAGTCGGTTAAGTCTCTGACTCTTGATCTCGGCTCTGGTCTTAATCTCAGGGTCGTGAGTTCAAGCCCCATGTTGGGCTCCATGCTAGGCGTGAAGGCTACTTTAAAAAAATTTGTTTTTAATTTAAAAATTATATTTGATTGTTTCTGTAAGAAACATGTATTTTTTTTAACGGAAAAATGTCAGTACCTTGTCTTACCTCATCAGTATCAGAGCTTATGTTGTGACAGAGACTTGCAAACATTAAGTCTTAATATTATAAAAGACTTCAGGTTGGTTCTAAGTGCCCTCCTATAAGCATCATCCCTCCCACCAATGCAGTCCTACCTGGCACAAGAGTTTCCTGGACAAACAGAATTGGATAGAGCCATTCCTGGTATTTCCTGAGCCTCCGAAGCAATTTGCAGTTCAGCTGTCTCCTTTGTAGGCATCTTCTCTTCTTGCTATTTGCATTAAAGAAACAAAATCAATGTGTCTCTCCTATCTAAAAAATCCTACCTATTTTCAAGCTTTAGTTCCAAAATTAGGTTTACTATACTCTTCACCTAGATACCCACTAACCATATAAAATATCTATACTATAAAAGTTCTTTCTAATAATTTACATTCCTAGGATAAACCGTTTCTGTTGTACTCAACTGAGCAGTGCCAAGCATATACCAAATTTCTTTGGGTGACCCCATTTCAATGCAACATGACTAGAATAAAAAGCTAAAGTCCAGAAGTTATAAAACAATGGTTTAGAGTCTAACTAAGATGTCAATAAATTGCATCACTTCTAGTGACACAAGTTCCATTTGAGGTCATTTGTTAAACTACTCTCCTGCTGGACTTTGTTGCCACTAATAGCTATGAAACTACCAGAAACTCTGAATGGGGGTTGGGAGGATTTTTATCTTCTATGCTTTTATATTATTTAACTTTGTTTCAGTAAGTATAGTTTTCTGTGTTAAAAAAAAAGAGAAATGGGGGCATCTGGGTGGCACGGTTAAGTGTGTGACTCTTGGTTTCAGCTCAGGTGATGATCTCAGGGCATGAGATGGAGCCCTGCATGATACCCTCTGCCCTTCTCCCTGCTTGCACACAATCTCTCTCTAAAATAAATAAATAAATCTTTAAAAAAAAAAAAGAGAGAGAGAGAGAAATGACCTGATCACCCATTCTTTCTCGCTGAGTAGTTTGAATTTCTTTCAGCTTCTTCTCCATCTCTTCAATCTGTTTCTGCATTTCTGCTCTCTTCTCTGCACTGGTCAGTAGCTCAGCTAGAAACAGTAAGGTTGGCTAATGCATTACTCCTTATAGCAATTTATTCTGTCAAAAACTGTCTTTGGAGTGCATGCCTTCAACATACATGCTAATATTACAGATGAGAATAATATAAATGGAGCAAAGTCCTCTACTTGAGGTCTAGGTCTCTATTCTTTTATTTATTTAATCAATAAGAACCAGAATAGCTATGATGTGCCAAGAACAATTCGGAGCATTTACATGTCAGTGGTGCATAATACAACGTCCTTAGTCATGTGACACTAACATTCAATTTGGGGAAGACACACACACAAATTAATACGAAAATCAGTGTTAAAAATGAAATAGGTGGGGTGCCTGGGTGGCTCAGTCGATTGAGCATCTGCCTTTGGCTCAGGTCATGATCCCAGGGTCCTGGGATGGAGCCCCGCATTGGGCTCCCTGCTCTGCGGGGAGCCTGCTTCTCCCTCCCACTCTGTCTCCCAGCTCTTGCTCTCACCCTCTATCTCAAATAAATAAATAAAATAAAATGGGTGATGTGAGAATGTGTGACTGAGTAGGAGGATGGAGGTCAGGAGCTACTTAAGACGGCTAAGCAGGGAAGATCATTTTAAGAGAGGGACATTCATAAGGTTGCAACCCAAATGACAAGGAGCCAATCATATAAAGATCTGGGGAAAGATTCTAGGCCAAAGCTGGCACAAAGGCTTTAATGCAGGAACAAGGTCACTGTGCTCAAGAGTGAGTTCCAGAGAAGGCCAGGATGACTGTAGCAAAATAAGAGGGAGAAAAGTAAAAGATGAGGTTGGAGAGGTAGGCAGGAGCCAAGTCATGTGTGGGTAGAGTTCGTACTACATGGTAAGACAATGAGAAAACACTGAAGAATTTTAAGTAAAGTAATGATAGGACCTGGACTTTTTATAAAGATCATCTGCTATGAGCAAAATGGACTGTAGTAAGGCCAGACTGAAGTTTGCAGAAAGTCTAGCTGCAGTAGTCTACCTAAAAGATGGCAGTTTGGATTAATAATGAGAATGGTGATAAATGAAAGATTTGGAAAATTGTTTGGTGGTACGGTTGATAGGCTTATTCATTAGATGTGGGAGAATGGTACAGAAAGAGGGATCAGAGAAGACTTACGGGGTTTTTTGGCTTGAACCAACTGGGTGCATGGTGTTCCCTTTTACTGAAATGGGGAAGCCTGTGGTATGTGCTGGGGTGTGGTTTTTGGCAGAAATCAGTAATTCTGTTTTGGCTGTGTTAAGTTTAAAATGTCTGTTGGAATAGCCAACAGATATAGGTAACTAAACAGAGTCTGGAGTTCAGGTGAAATGTCAGGGATAGAGATATAAATCTGAGAGTCCCCAGCTTGTAAAGAGTATTTAATCCATTACCTAGTGATAGTTGTGATTGGAATATTCCAGACTCTATCCTGAGCCTCTGGAATAGCAGTGAAGGAAATTGAGAGGGAATACGCACCAAGGAAAAAGCCAAGAGAAGCATTTAATACACAAGCATTTCATCAACTGTGTCAAATGAAGCCAAGAGGTCAAAAAAGATCAAGACTGATAAACGGCCACTGGATTTGGCAAAAAAGAGGTTTCTGGTGACCATGATCAGAGCTGCTTCACTGGAATAGAGGGAATGCTTGAGAAAATAATGGGCAATGACGAAGATTACAATTCCCAAGAAATTTTGCTGTGAACTAGATCAATATACATACCTTCCCTTTGCTCTTTTAATTTCTTCCGGAAAACTTCAGCCCGGATCTCTTCAAAGGAGAACTCCCCCACTCCGGCATAAATCTTTTCCTTACAATACATCATCTTCTCTTTCTTCTCCTGAGACTCTTGCTGATGGCTTTGAACTCTTCGCAGGGGATCCCCTTCTTCCTTTCCAGGCTTCCTTGTGCTTAGAATGTGGTTTATACTAGGTTCAATTTTACATGGTGTCCTAAAGAAGCAAAATAATTATTATTCACCATATAGGTCAAATGAGTTATTTCTTACATGTTTTGACGGAACACAGGGACAATGTCAGTAGCAAGACTATGTATAATTGATTTCAAAAAATAAAAACAGGGGCGCCTGGGTGGCTCAGTCATTAAGCGTCTGCCTTTGGCTCAGGTCATGATTCCAGGGTCCTGGGATCGAGCCCCACATCGGGCTCCCCGCTCGGCGGGAGGCCTGCTTCTCCCTCTCCCACTCCCAAACACTGCTTGTGTTCCCTCTCTCGCTGTGTCTCTCTCTGTCAAATAAATAAATAAAATCTTTAAAAAAAATAAAATAAAATAAAATAAATAAAAAAGATTGAGAAAAGAGGCTAAAAAATAATTTACATGGATTATCAATAATTATGTTCTGTGTACTACTCTTTTATGATGAGGAATGAAATTAGCCATAAGTTAGGGTCATCAAATAGCTTATATTCCTTATAGGTAAAATAAATCTGAATATCATATCTTAATCAAACCCACTGTATGAAAGAAAATTAACCTATGCAATATAGCCTATTTGCCACGGTTTATCACCAAAAATAATTTGAGTTAGGAATATAACATTTAGGGAATTGACAATGTGACAAGTTCAAGGTTCTCAACTGAGGGGGAAGAATGGAAATGATAATACAGGTTTGAAAAGAATGAAGCATGAAGTACTTCAATGAAAACAGGGCAGATATTCTCAATCCTGGCTATGGACAAAATTACTTATATACCTTTTATTTTCTTATGTGCCTTTTTACAACTAAAGATATCTGGTCCTGGGGTACGTGCTTGAGTCAGTTAAGCATCCAACTCTTGATTACAGCTCAGGTCATGATCTCAGCGTCCTGAGATGGAGCCTGTTAGGCTCCGCGCTCAGCGCAGAGGCTGCTTGAGATTCTCTCTCTCTCCCCCTCTCCCTTTGCCTCTCTTCCTGCTCATGCTCTCTTTAAATAAACAAATAAATAAAATCTTAAAAAACAAAACAAAACAAAAAAACCAGACATCTGGTCCTTACCCCAGATCACTAAATCAGAACCTTTAATGGTAGGGTCTAAACATCTACATACCTAAAACACTTCCTCAACTTGTTCAACCTGATAAAGGACATCTACAAAAAACCCACACAAACATCATACTTAATGATAAAAGACTGAATGCTTCTCCTCTAAGATCAGGAACAAGATAAGAATGTCCATTCTTGCCACTTCTATTCAAAACTGTCCTGGAATTTCTAGCCAGGGCAATCAGGAAAAAAAAAGAAACAAAGCATAAAAAAAGAAACAAGACATCCAAGTGGGAAAAGAAGTAAAATGATCTCTACTTGCAGATGACATGATCTTATATATAGAAAATCCACTACTAGGGCTAATAATGAGTTCACCAAAGAAGTAGGATATAAAATCAATATATGAAAATCAACTGTATTTTATACACTTGCAATGAACGGAACACCAAAAAGAATGAAGTGCTTCAGAATAAATTTTTTAAAAAGAAGTGTGAATAGACAGATACCAAAGAAGATATACAGAAGGCAAATAAACATATAAAATTCAGTATCATGTTATCAAAAAATTACAATTAAAATAATGAGATACCACTACACAACTATTAGAATGGTTTAAATCTAAACTATTGACAACACCAAGTGTTGCCAAGGGTGTGGAGGTATGAATGAATGCAAAATGGTATAGCCACTTTGGAAGAGTTTGGCACTTTCTTACAAAACTGAGTCTTATGATAGAATCCAGCTGTATGAGTTGAAAACTTATGTCCACATAAAACCCTGCACACAAGGGTTTATAACAACCTTATTCATAATTGCCAAAATTGGAAGCAACCAAGATGTCCTCCCATAAATGGATAAACATCCACACAATGGAATATCATTCAGTACTAAAAATAAATGAACTATTAAGCCACAAAAAAGAAAACTTAAATGCATATTACTGAGAAAAGTCAGTCTGAAAAGCTTACATACTGTTTATTTCCAACTATAGGACTTCTGGAAAAGGCAGAATTGTAAAGACAATATAAAGATCAGTGGTTGCCAGGGATTTGAGGGAAGGATAAATGAACAGGCGGAGTAGAGGAAAGTTTTAAGGCACTGAAACTATTTTATGTGACATTGTAATGATGGACACATGAAAAACCCATAGAACTGTAAAACACATTGGAGTGAAGACTAATGTAAACTATGAACATTGGTTAATAATGTATCAATTGCAACAAATGAACCACACTGATGCAAGACATTAATAGGGAGAACTGTGTATGGGGTTGGGGAGGAGGAAGTATATGGGAACTCTGTACTTTCTGTACAATTTTTCTATAAACCTAAAATAGCTCAAAAAATAACATCTACTCATTTTTTTAAAAAGTGCAAAACTTGTATTCTGAAAACTATGAAACACTGTTGTAAGAAATGAAAGAAGATATAAATAAAAGATATTCCATGTCCATGGATCAGAAGATTTAATAGTATTAAGATAGCAATATTCATTAAATTGATCAACAAATTCAGAGCACAATCTGTAACACAATCCCAGCTGGTTATTTTGCAGAAATTACCAAAACAATCCTAAAATTCAGATGGAATTGCAAGGGGACCAGAATGGTCAAAACAATCTTTAAAAAGAACTAAGTTGGGGGGCGCCTGGGTGGCTCAGTTGGTTAAGCGACTGCCTTCGGCTCAGGTCATGATCCTGGAGTCCCGGGATCGAGTCCCGCATCGGGCTCCCCGCTCGGCGGGGAGTCTGCTTCTCCCTCTGACCCTCTTCCCTCTCGTGCTCTCTATCTCTCATTCTCTCTCTCTCAAATAAATAAATAAAATCTTAAAAAAAAAAAAAAAGAACTAAGTTGGGAGATTCAAACTTCTAGATTTCAAAAGTTACAACAAATCCACAGTAACCAAGGCTATGGCATAAGGACACATGTAGATCAATGGAATAGAAAAGTCTCAAAAATAAACCCATACAGGGGCGCCTGGGTGGCTCAGTCGTTAAGCGTCTGCCTTCAGCTCAGGTCATGATCCCACTCCCCCTGCTTGTGTTCCTTCTCTCACTGTGTCTCTCTGTCAAATAAATAAGATCTTAAAAAAAAAAATTGTTTAAAAATAAATAAATAAATAAATAAACCCATACATTATGTCAGCTGATTTTCCACAAGAGTACCAAGACCATATGTGGCACCTGGGTGGCTCAGTCACTTAAGCATCCAACTCTTGATTTCGGCTCAGGTCATGATCTCAGGGTTGTGAGACTGAGCCCTGCATCAGGCTCTGCACTGGGTGTGGAGCCTGCTTGAGATTCTCTCGCTCTACCTCTGTCCCTCCCCACCCCCTCTCTGAAAAAAGAAGAAAAAGAAGAAGAAGAAGAAGAAGAAGAAGAAGAAGAAGAGTACCAAGACCATCTAATGATGAGAGAAATTTTTTCAAGCAACAACTGTATATTCACATGCAGAAGAATGAAGTAGGACTCCTTCCTTATATCACACACAAACATTAGCTAAGAATGGATCACAGACCTAAATGTAAGAGCTAGAACTATAGAACTTTCAGAAGAAAACACAGGAGTAAATCTTCATGACCTTGAGTTAGGCAAAGCCTTCTTGGATACAATGCCAAAAATGTAAGAAACAAAAGAAAAAATAAATTACACTTCATTGAAATTTTTACACCTTTTGGGATTCAAAAGATAACATCAAGAAAGTGAAAAGAAAAACAAAGAAAGTGAAAAGACAACTGACAGAATGGGAAAAAATATTTGCAAATCATGTATCTGCTAAGGGACTTGTACTCAGAATATATAAATTCTTACAATTCAAAAAGACAGGGGCACCTGGGTGGCTCAGTGGGTTGGGCGACCAACCAACTCTTGATTTCAGCTCAGGGCATGATCTCAGGATCATGGGATCAAGCCCTGCATCAGGCTCAGACATCAGCATGGAGTCCACTTGGGATTTTCTTCCTCTCCCTCTGCCCCTGCCCCCCACTCACACTCACTCTCTCTCTCTCTCTCTCAAATAAAATCGATAAAAAAATAAATAAAAGACAAATAATCCAGTTGAAAAATAGGCAAAGGATTTGAATAGGCACTTCTCCAAAGAAATACAAATGGCAATAAGCCCATGAAAAGATGTTCAACATCATTAATCATTAGAAAAATGCAAATCAAAACCACAATGAGATACCACTTCACACCCAATAGGATGGCAACAACCAAAAAACAAAACCAAAAGAAAGTGAATAATAACAAGTGTTGGTGAGGATGTGGAGGAAATTGGAGCCCTCATTCATTATGGCAATTTGGGAACAGAAAATGGTGCCACCTCTTTGGAAAACAGACAGTTCCTGAAAATGTTAAACATGGAGCTACTATATGACTCAGCAATTCCCTTCCGAGGTATATACCCATAGGAAATGAAAACATATGTCCACAAAAAAACCATTTACACAAATGTTCACAGAAGCATTACTCATAATTAGCCAAAAAGTAACAACAACCCAAAAGTCCAAAGGGGTAGCTGCTCTAGACAAGTTCAGGAACTTGCAAACAATCTGGTTTGACTATATGACGGGGAGGAAACAGGAGATGTTAAGGGGCGCCTGGGTGGCTCAGTCAGTTAAGCGTCTGCCTTCATCAGGTCATGATCCTGGGGTCCTGGGACGGAGACCCGCATCGTGCTCCCTGCTCAGTGGAGAGTCTGCTTCTCCCTCTCCCTCTGCCTTTCCCTCTCTGCTCATGCTGTCTCTTGCTTTCTCTCTCTCAAATAAAGAAATAAAATCTTAAAAAACAAACAAACAAGGAAACTGGAGATGTTAGCAGAGGCCAAATCAAGAACAGTCTCCTAATTAATCTTAAGGAGTTTTAGTTTCATCCCAAAGGTTATGGGGACCTAGCAAGGGATTCTGATCAGGAAAATGAAACAATCAGATTTGCAATGCAGACCTGCGACAGCATAAAGAATGAATGGGATGAGTAACACTAGAAGTAGAAAGATTAGGTAGCTTGCAGTAATCCCAGCAAAGAATGATGGAGACACAGAAACCATAAAGAAGACTGTTAAATCTATACAGGAATTAGAAATATATTTGTAGGGGGTGGGGGGATGGGTTAGCCCGGTTATGGGTATTAAAGAGGGCACATTCTGCGTGGAGCACTGGGTGTTATGCACAAACAATGAATCATGGAACACTACATCAAAAACTAATGATGTAATGTACGGTGATTAACATTATAATAAAAAAAGCATTGGAAAAAAAATATATTTGTAATGATTACTGCTAAACAATATCAAAAACAAGTGATAAATTAGGGGGAAATATTCACAACTCCTATTAAAGATTTTAGCTAATGAGCTTAATCTATAATAACATGTATATACAAAGAGCCCCTGGAACATACCATTAAAAAAAACACAAACTAAAGAAAATGTTGCAGACAGGGCAAATAAGACAGCCATGAAGAGGAGTTGAAATAAAAATCAAGTTCAACATTTTCTATACCATATTTATTTTGCCATAATTCTATCTATAGGTGATTTGAAACATTCGAAAAATTAAATATCCACAAATGTGTGCTATCAATTTCTTCTGGTAATCCTTTGTAAAGGCTCATAGGATTTTTTTCTTTTCTTCCTTTTTTATTTTTTTAAATTCTTTAATTTTTTTTTTAAAGATTTTATTTATTTATTTGAGAGAGAGAATGAGACAGAGAGAGAGCATGAGAGGGGAGAGGGTCAGAGGGAGAAGCAGACTCCCTGCCGAGCAGGGAGCCCGATGCAGGACTCAATCCCGGGACTCCAGGATCATGACCTGAGCCGAAGGCAGTCGCTTAACCAACTGAGCCACCCAGGCGCCCTCTTTTCTTCCTTTTTTAAAAGATTTATTCATCTGCTTGAGAGAGCAAGTGCAGTGGGGAGGAGCAGTGCAGGGGAGAGTCACAAGCAGTCTCCCTCAGATGATCCCATGACCCTGAGATCACAACCTGAGCCAAAACCAAGAGTCAGACACCCAACCAACTGTACCACCCAGGCGCCCCTCATAGAAATTTCTTAAAGAATATCCTCCCTTGGGGCGCCTGGGTGGCTCAGTCGTTGGGCATCTGCTTTCAGCTCGGGTCATATCCCGCAGTCCTGGGATCGAGCCCTGCATTGGGCTCCCTGCTTGGCGGGAAGTCTGCTTCTCCCTCTCCCACTCCCCCTGCTCGTGTTCCCTCTCTCACTGTGTCTCTCTCTGTCAAATAAATAAATAAATAAATAAATCTCGGAAAAAAAAAAAGTATCCTCCCCCGTGTTGAACTCATATCAGGCAGAATTTTTTGCTATAAATCTTATCTATTTTTGCATTCCTATAGTACCTAGCATAGAGTGATGAGGGGTTATAGATTAGTTATGAGAAAACTCTTGCACTGGGACACAGAATCTGACCCTAGTATTATATGCTCTGCAGTGTGTATTAGACTAGATCTCACACTGCCTGATGATCTAAGTATCACCGGTCATTCTTTTTCTTATAACAGAAATACTAAGGGTTAGGAAGAAAAAGAAAAAGACATCCAGAAGGAAAGAGCAGGGTAAAAGGAAAAACTATCATAATTTCTAATCACTGTCAATAACAAAGGTAGAACATCTCACTTAAGTCAAAGTGATTATCTTTGACTACAGCAATGTAAATATAAGCCTATGAAGTTTATTCCTTAATAAGAATATTACCAAATGGTCTTTTAGCCCTAACATACTCTAAAGAATATAGACATTAAAAAAACACAATTTGTCTCGTTACTTTCATCCCCACAAAGAAGGAAATGCCTTTGGGAACCAGAATAGGTGCTCCTGCTCACTCTTAATAATTCCCACCTCAAAATATCAGGAAATCAAACTCACATAACTGGCTGTTGTGCAGTTTCTTCAACGTATGGAGTAAAACTGGGAAGCAGAGAGGGTATAGTGGTCACAGAAGCTGTACCACCATGAGGCTGGCGATGAAGAAGAAGATGACAATTACCACAGTTATACATTCTGACAAAGTATATGCAGGCCACGCCCAATCATTCAGGAGGAATTAAAAGAGATGCTAAAAACACTCCTCTACTCTAAATCTGAAGTTTTTGTTATGTTGGCAAGTACACTGGATCCAAGAGTCCTTACCCTATATTCCAAAGGCCTGCCTGTGTTCCAAGGGCCTGGCTGCAGCTCGTTCTCTTTGGCCCTGGACACAGGAGGTGCTATCCATGGCTGAACTGTAGGCTTAGACAACTCTGCTCTAGAAGCCTCATCAGCATTTTCATCAAAAATAGTAATTCTGGAATTACTTTGCATCTGTTGAGGAACTGGATTTTGGAGTCCTCTGTTCTGGTTTGGAGCTAGGAGAAAAATATTAAAATTTTATGTAAAATATTTAATTATCAACTCAGATGCCAGATAAGGAATACCTAATTCTTCCCAAAATTAAGGAGATTACCCCTGCTACCATAGGAACAAAGAGATTTTTTTAAACAATAATTTTTAAAAAACCTTACATGAATTAACATTTTAATCCATTCTGTTTGTTACTCATACTCTCCCTCCTTTCCCTCACCTCCAGTCTTTTATTTATAGATATGTTAAAAAAAACTTAGGATGCCTGGGTGGTTCAGATGGTTAAGTGTCTGCCTTCGGCTCAGGTCATGATTCCAGGGTCCTGGGTTTGAGTCCCACATCGGGCTCCTTGCTCAGCAGGGAGCCTGCTTTTCTCTTACCTACTTCTCCCTCTTCCTGCCGCTGCCCCTGCTGTGATCACTCTCTCTGACAAATAAATAAAATCTTAAAAAAAAAAATTCTACATCTTCCTTCAATCATCATTCTAACACTATCTAGTTTTCTCAGAGACTATCCTAAACTAAATCTTCATTTATCAATTTAAAATTTTTCTCTCAATGGAAATCAGCTGAAATGTGCTGAATCTAGAGAAGACAAATTAGCCCATTTATTAGGGGTGTTCTCTGTTGTGGAGCTCCTTATTATAATCAAGCTTCATTATGATCTGGAGGAAATACTCTTTTGTTTTTTTTAAAGATTCTATTTATTTATTTGACAGAGAGAGACACAACAAAACAGGGAACACAAGCAGGGGGAGTGGGAGAGGGAGAAGCAGGCTTCCCGCTGAGCAGGGAGCTCGATGCGGGGCTCCATCACAGGACCCCGGGATCATGACCTGAGCTGAAGGCAGACGCTTAGACGGAGCCACCCAGGCGCCCCGGGATGAACTATTCTTTAGGTCTATATACTCCCTATACCCTAATTCTAGGATCTACAAGTAATATTTTGAATACTGGTAAGTTGATACCGTAAAAGGAATATGAAATTTTTAAAAATTCTGGTCTATCCATCTAACTGCTATAAATGTAGTTAGTAAAAGCTTATTGCTCTCTCTACTTTCTACTCAATTTTGCTATGAATCTAAAACTTTCCTAAACATAATTAATTGAAAAAAAAAAGAGAGAGAACAAGAAAGAAAGCTTATCAGTGATCATCTTTAGGCAAAGAGAGTCCAATTTCTGGCCCCAAAAACCTGAAGACCACGTTAATACATTCTCTGGGGCTCTGGTATATGTAAGCTTCGCTTTGACAATACTGGCTATATTACTGCATATCTTCTCTCGACTAACAACTCAAACTCAGAAACTCTTGATGCTTCCTATATATTAGGTTTTTCTTAATTAAGACACAAAATTGCTGACCTGTTTTGCTTTTACTGCATACTGTAATCTCAGCTCTCTGAAGACTTCCTTCTTTTTGCTACCTAGTAGTCAGAAAACGAGGACAGTGTCCACGTATATATTTATACATTATCTCTTTACATAATTTGCCTACTGCCCGAGACTAAGAGCTTCCAATAATAACACTTAACAAACTTACCCTTAAGAGCACCTCCGACACGGCTGATTGGAGCTCTTGCTGTCTTTTTCCCTTTGCTTTTTAGTTCAGCCAGTGTGCTTCGTTGTGGTACAGAAGACCCAAAAACTTCCTCCTCCTCTTCTTTCTCAAGTGCCAACACAGTTTGCCGAGACACCCGAGCTTGGAATTGTCTAAAAGTAAGAGAATGGACAATTAACTTTTGGGGGAGATGACCACTACTCACCAGAATCAAAATTTCTAATTTATTAAACAAGGGAGAAGAAATATAGAGAAACAGCCCAAAGAAAGTGTTTATTCTCTCAGGAATAAAGAAAGCTACCTTGAAATCAGAGAAGGTTTGGAATAGGATGATTTAACTTCCCCTTTAAATGTCACATCCGACCAATTAGCATACTCTGAAGAGCACCATTAGGCTGATCTGAGGATCAGACCAGGGTGACTAAGACTAAAGAATTTATTAAGGTCAGAGTTTCCCATCAACTTTTAAACTTACAAAATAGTTGGAAGAGTAAATGAGCACCCATATACTCTTCACCTAGATTCAGCAACTGTCAACGTCTTGCCACATCTCTTTTATCACTGTCTATGTCTCTTGCTCTCTCTAGGCACATTCCTCAGCCCCATACCATTTTTTCCCAAACCATATGAAATGAAGTTGTATCCCACATGTCATTTTACTTTAGCACAGCTGGCAGAAGTTTGAAGATTTAACTTCCTGTGCTGCTGTCAAAGCTTTACGTATTATCAAAAGGGTAAAAAACCAGAATAAACTGCAAGTGCTGGCCAAGACGGAGTAAGCCCATGATAGCCTCTCTCTCACTGGGTAGAATTAAAAACTCTAAACAAAATACAAAAAAAGCAACTGAGGTCTCTGAAAAGTAAACAAAAGCAAGTGGACTGTAGAGAGGAGTCAAACTTGAAGAAACAAACCACACAGGGTTGTTTCCTGTTTTTTTTTTTTTCTTCTTCTTCTTCTTCTCTTTTCTCTTGTGGTTTTAAATTGTTGCAACAATGGTGTGGGAAGCTAAAACCTCATCTTTCTGGCCAGAGTACTGGGAAAAGGGGACTCTGAGGGCCAACGAATGTGGGAGAGATACTAGAGAGGACGAGCTGAAGAAGGGGATCTCCTAATTCTCTACACGAATTGGCACAAGCTCTGGACTCACTCCTGAGCTATGCATGCAGAAGGCAGGCCCAAAGTAGCACAAAAAGGCTTTGAGATCTGAACTATGATATAAACCATTGCCCAAGTCCTAGACTAACCCCTGATCAGCCTACATGTGGGATAGACCCAAATGTCTTGAAAATTGAACTGTCAGTGGAACCACTATCCATCAGAGAAAGAACTTGTGATATCTGAGGGTTGGTTGCCTACTAAGACAAAAATATCAACATTCCCCAGGGAATATCAACCAATAGGACTCAGAGTCTAATAACATAGTAACAGGATAAATGTCCAGGATATAATCCAAAATGACCTGACAGACAAAGAACCAGGAAAATGTGATCAATTCTCAAAGAAAAAGGCAATCAACACATATCAAAATCAAGATGACCTAGGTGTTGGGAATTTCCAGACAGAAATTTAAAGATTTACTTATTTATTTATTTGAGAGAGAGAGAATGAGAGACAGAGAGCACAAGAGGGAAGAGGGTCAGAGGGAGAAGCAGACTCCCCGCTAAGCAGGGAGCCCGATATGGGACTCGATCCCGGGACTCCAGGATCATGATCTGAGCCGAAGGCAGTTGCTTAACCAAATGAGCCACCCAGGCGCCCTCCAGACAGAAATTTAAAAGCAGCTATTATAACGACGCTCTGAGAGATAAAGGTAAAAATATCTGAAATAAATAGAAAGACAGAAGTTCTCAGCAGAGACACAAAAACTATAAAGAAGAATCAAATGAAAAATTTAGACCTGAAAAACACATTATCTGAAATAAAAAATTTACTGGATGAACTCAGTATCAGAATGGAGATGGCTAAGGAAAGAGCAAATGAACTTGAGGACAAATCAACAAAAATTAGCTATTCTGAAGAACAAAAAGAAAGGTTAAAAAATTAAAAACAGAAACAGGGGTGCCTGGGTGGCTCAGTCAGTTAAGCATCTGCCTTCGGCTCAGGCCATGATCCTAGGCTCCTGGGATCGAGTCCTGCATTGGGCTCCTTGCGCAGCGGGGAGCCTACTTCTCTCTCTGCCTCTGCCTGCCACTCCCCCTCCTCATGCTCTCTCTCTCTCTCTCTCTCTCTCTCTGACAAATAAATAAATAAAATCTTAAAAATAAATAAGTAAATAAATAAAATAAAAACAAAAACGAAACAATAAAAAAGAGCTTCAGGGACCTATGGAACAATATAAAAAAGTCTAATATATGTGTAACTAAAGCCCCAGAAAAAGACATAAAAGTGCAGAAATAAATAATGGCTGAAAACTTCTCAAATTTTGTGAAAGGCATACATTTACAAATTCAAAAAGCTCAGTAAACCCTAAACGGATTCAGTGCAAAGGTAATCACACATAGACACATCATAATCAAACTTCCGAATAACAATGTTAAAGAAAAAAATCTTAGGGGCGCCTGGGTGGCTCAGTTGCTAAGCGTCTACCTTGGGGCGCCTGGGTGGCTCAGTCGTTAAGCGTCTGCCTTCGGCTTAGGTCATGATCCCAGTGTCCTGGGATTGAGCGCCACATCAGGCTCTCTGCTCAGCAGGAAGCCTGCTTCTCCCTCTCCCGCTCCCCCTGCTTGTGTTCCCTCTCTCTCTGTCAAATAAATAAATAAAATCTTAAAAAAAAAAAAAAGCATCTACCTTCGGCTCAGGTCATGATCCCAGCATCCTGGGATCAAGTCCCGCATCAGGCTCCCTGCTCAGCGGGAAGTCTGCTTCTCCCTCTACACCCCCCACCCCCAGCTTGTGCACATGCTCTTTTTCTCTGTCAAATAAATAACATCCTAAAAAAAGAAAAAGAAAAGAAAAGAAAAAAATCTTAAGTGCACCCAGAGAAAGTCAACATATTACATATAGAGAAGGAACCATTCTCATCAGAAATCATGGAGTCCAGAAGACAGTGCAACAACATCTTTATCGAAGTTAAAGAACTATTGAGGGGCGTCTGGGTGGCTCAGTCGTTAAGTGTCTGCCTTTATCTCAGGTCATGATCCCAGGGTCCTGGGATGGAACCCCGTGTCCAGCTCTCTGCTCAGCGGGGAGTCTGCTCTTCTCCCTTGCCTTCTGCCCCTCCCCACTGCTCATGCTCTCTCTCTCAAATAAATAAATTAAATTTAAAAAGAGAAAAAAGAAAAGAACTGTTGACCCAGAATTCTACATCCAGTGAAAATATCCTTCAGGAATGAGGATGAAATGAAGTCATTCTCAGATGAAAAAAAACTAAGGGAATTTATTAGCCATAGGCTCACTCTAAATGAATGGCTAAACAAACCTCTTCAGGCTAAAGGGAAATTATACTAGAGGACAACTTGGGACTTCAGGAATGAAGGAAGAACAAAAATGATAAATACAAAAGACCATTTTCCTCCAAAGTTCTTTAAATATGTAAGGCTGTTGAAAACAAAAATTATAACATTGTCTGGTGGGGTATTCAGTGTATGTAGATGTAATACATATGACAAGTATACCAAAAAAGTAGGGAAGATCAAGGGACCTATATGGTTATAAAGCTTCTATATTTTTTTACTTGAAGTGATAAAATATCAACCCTAAGTAGACCATGAAAGGTCAGATCTGCTTATAATATACCCCAGACAACCATTAAAAAAAAGTAGTAACAGACAAAAAAAAGTCAATAAAATAAATTAAAATGAAATATTAAAAAATATTCAGACAATCCAAAAGAAGGCGGGAAAGAGGCAACAGAGGAACAAAAGATAGAGAACCAATTGAGAACAAATAAGAAAATAATAGATCTAAATCCAATACAATTAATAATTAAAGTAAATGTTCTAAATACACCATTTAAAAAGATATTGTGAGAGCTGAGGAAAAAACAAGACCCAACTATTTGCTGTGATAAAAAACCCACTTTAAATATGAAGACATGGAATAAAAATGAAAGAAAATCCATACAAAAGCCTGCATCATGAATGTTTGCAGCAGCATTATTTCACAATAGCCAAAAAATGGAAACAACCTAAATGCTCATTATTTGATGAATAGATAAGCAAAACGTGGCATAGCCACTGAATGGTTATTACTGAGCAATAGAAAGGAATGAAATACTAACATATGACATAACTATGTTTATCAATGATGAACATACTATGATGAACCTTCAAAACAGTATGCTAAGTGAAAGAAGCCAGTCACAACAGACCTAGGATTCCATTTATGTGCAAAGCCCAGAATAGGCAAATCTAGAGAAAGAAAGAGATAAGTGGTTGCCTGGAAGTGGGTGAGTGGGAATGGGGAGTGAGTGCTAATGAGTATGGGGTTCATTTTGGGGTGTTAAATATGTTCTAAAATTAGATAGTGGTGATGGTCACACAACTCTAAAACTGTTTAAAAAAAGAAAAAAAGGAAAGGAAAAAGATATAGCATATAAACAAAAGAACGCCAGAGTGGCTATACTAGTATCAGACCAAGGAGACTTCAGAATGTGTATGACCAGGGATAAAGAGAGACATTATATAACGATAAAGGGGTCAATTCTAAATGTGTATGCTTCAGAACTTCAAAATATATAAAGCAAAACAAATGGGACTTAGGGAAAAATAGACAAATTCATAATAAAAGGGACTTCAAAATTCCTCTCTCAGTAACTGATAGAATAAGTAGATAGAAAATAAGCAAGGAAACAGAAGACCAGAACAGACTACCTATCAACTTGACCTATGTAACATTTAAAAAACATTCCACCCCTAAACAGCAGAAAACACATATTTTTCAAGTGTCCATGGAATATTCACCTATGACAGACCATATTCTGGGCCATAAAACAAAACTTAATAAATTAAAAAAAACTGAAACCATACAAATTATGTTCTCTGACCATAATGGAATTAAACTAGAAATCAGTAACAGAGAGACATCTGAAAAATCTCTAAACATTTCCCAATGAAATTAATATACTTCTAAATAACCCATGAGTCAAAGGGACAACATATGGGAAATTAAAAAATGTTGTTTTGAATGAAAATGAAAAATACAGTATTATATTAGAATTTGTGGAAGATAGCTAAAGCAGTGTTTAGAAGGAAAGTTTTATATTAGATAAGAAGATCTAGAATTAGTGAAATAGGCTATCATCTTAAACCAGAAAAAGAGCAAGTTAAACTCAAAGCAAGCACAAAGAAGGAAATAATAAAGAGCAGAAATTAATAAAAATAAGAAGAAAAAATCAATTAAGAAAAAGCAATGAAACCAAAAGCTGATTCTCTAAAAAGATCAATAAAATCGATAAACTAGCCAGACTGAGGGAAAAGAGAGAAGACACAAATTACCAATATCAGGAATAAAAGAGGGGAGATCACTATATAACTTACAAACATTAATAGGAAAATAAATACTATAAACAACTCTATGCTCATAACCTCATAGATGAAATGAGTCAATTCCTCAAAAGATAAATACTACTAAAGCTTACTCAAAGAAATCAAAGATCTAAATAACTGGAGAAACATACCAAGTTTATGCACAATACTAATCAAAATTCCGGAAGCTAATTCTAACACTTATACAGAAAGTCAAAGAACCAGAAGGGCTAAAAAGAAGAACGAAATTGGAGGTCTCATATTTACCCGATTTCTAGACTTACTATAAAGGTACAGCAACCTAGATCCTACGGTACACACTAATTAACAGATACACAGATCAAAAGAACAGAATAACAGAAATAAACCTACACAAATACGTTTTTTTTAATGTCAAATACGATTTTTTACAAAGGTGCAAAGTCAATTCAATGAAGAAAATCTTTTCAACAAGTGGTAGAAGAACAAATGGGGGGTCGTATGCAAAAAAAAAAAGAACCTGGATCAATACTTTCTATAAAAATTAACTCAAAATGGATCAGAGATCTAAATATAAAAAATAAAACTATAAAAACTTCAAGAGTGGGGTGCCTGGGTGGTTCAATCTGTTGGGCGTCCAGCTCTCGGTTTCAGGTCATGATCTCATAGGCCATGGGATTAAGCCCCATGTCGGGCTCCGCCCTCAGGGGGGGAGTGAAGATTCCTTTCCCTCTGCCCCTACCTCTACTTGTGTGCTCTCTCCCTCTCTAAAATAAATAAATAAATCTTTAAGAAAAAATTAAACATAGAAATACCATATAATACAATAATTCCACTACTGGGTATTTACCCAAAGAAAACAAAAACACTAATTCAAAAAGATATATGCACCCCTATGTTTATTGCAGTATTTACAATAGCCAAGATATAGAAGCAACCTAAGTGTCCATCAACAGTCAAATAGATAAGGAAGATATGTATATATAATGGACTATTAGGGAGCCGTAAGAAAGCATGAGATGGTGCCACTGGTGACAACATGGAGGTACCTACAGCACATTATGCTAAGTGAAATAAGTCAGACTGAGAAAGAAAAATACCATGATTTCACTCATGTGGAATCTAAAAGAAAAAAAAAGGAATAAACAAACAAAAAGCAGACTAAGACCTATAAATATAGAGAACAAACTGATGGTTGCCAGAGGGGACGGGGGTGCGTGGGCTGGGCAAAATGAGTGAAAAGGAGAGGGAGACACAGGCTTCCAGTTATAGAATGAATAAGTCATGGGAATAAAAGGTACAGCATAAGAAATATAGTCAGTGATATTGTAAGGGCTCTGTACGGTGCAGTGAGTACAGCATAATGTAGCAGCTTCTAGAATCATTGTATTATACACCTGAAGTTAATGCAACCTTGTGTATCAACTATACTCAAAAATTTTTTTTAAAAAATTTCAAGATGAAAACAAAATGTTTGCAATCTTTCGCTAAACAGTTCTCAGATATACCAAGAGCATGATTCACACAAAAAATAAATAAGTTAGACTTCTTCAAAATTAAAAATTTTGTTCTATAAAACACACTGCTAAGAGAACAAATAGACCACAGTTAAACCGGGAGAAGATTTACAAGCCACATACCTGACAAAAGACTTGTATTCAGAATATACATATAAAATCCATCTTTAAGGTAGAACCAATTTAACAACTGAAATGCATTATGCTAAGTGAAAGCAGTCAGACTCAAAAGGCTACATTGTATGATGCCATGTATGTGATATTATGGAAAAGGTGAAACTGCAGGGCTAGAGACTAGATCAGTGGTTGCCAGGGTTTGGGAATGAGAGTAAGTGTTAAACTACTAAGGGAAAGGGAGAGAGCATAAGGAAATTCTATGGATGATGGAACTTGATCATGGTAATGCTTACATGTCTCTATTCATTTGTGAAAACTTACAGAACTGTACACCAAAGAGTAGATTTTACTAAATGTTAAATATAAATTGGTCTTTTTTTTTTTAAGATTTTATTTATTTATTTGAGAGAGAGAATGAGAGATAGAGAGCACGAGAGGGAAGAGGGTCAGAGGGAGAAGCAGACTCCCTGCTGAGCAGGGAGCCTGATGTGGGACTCGATCCCGGGACTCCAGGATCATGACCTGAGCCGAAGGTAGTCACTTAACCAACTGAGCCACCCAGGCACCCTATAAATTGGTCTTTTAAAAAATTAAATAGTAACTAAGTAAATTTGCCAATCCATGAGAGCATTTTATTCAGATGCAAAACCATTTATATCTATTAGTTTTAAAGAGTGGAGACAAGCTCGAGAAGTTTACCGGTGCTGTGACTGCAGTCGTTCCAGTGGTTTGGCCTTCTGTTGAATCCCTTCCTGAAATATCTTATCTGCTTTCTTAAAGTTTTCTCTAGCTTCATATTCTTCAGCCCATGAGATATAGAACTGAGCAAGTGAAACACCAATCCCTTGGCTATGTAAATAACTGTACGTATCCAAAGGCTCACTGCATAAATGCCCCTGTAAAAAATTAAAAGCATTAACAGTTAACCAATTTCTATTCACTTACTGTCTTTTTCAATGCAGAAACTACATATAGTAGGAGTTACTATATGTAGTTTCTGCATTGAAAAAATATTTATCTATTATAATACAATGTTATAAGGACTACACTGGGAAGAGTTAAAAAGTAGACAAAAGAGATTAATTTGTAAGAAAAAGGGAGCAGAAGGAAAGACTTCAAGAAGGTATGACATTTTTGAGTGTGGCCTTGAGGGAGGAATAGACTTATATCTGGTAGAGAATGGGAAAGGAAGGCATTCTACACAGAGAAAATGGTATAAGCAAAGACAGAAACTGAAAGTTTATAGAGATGCAGACAAGACAGGAGCTTGGAAAGCTTGGAAAAAAGGGTGTGACAGGTCTTAAATGTCAAGAAAATTAATTTTAAACCTATGTGATAGTGAATGTATGTGTGTTGGGGTGGGAGAGCTATAAGCAAAGGAATGACATGGTCAAATCTATATTTTAGAAGGATCTTATAAGACCAGATAAAATGTAGATAATTCTAGTAGTAAGAAGATAGGATAATGGGTCAATAAAAATCCCACATCATTAACAGTTTGATATATATTTTTTCCTTGAGGAAAAAAAGAACATATATCATTTTATACAGCATAAAAGGGTTTTTATCATTTAATAAAGTTTTAATCATAAGAAAATTTGCTTTTATTCTACTTAACCGTCCATCGTTCATTTTTCCATGCTGCTGCTTATTCTTTATTTTTAGATAAATAATGTTCCATCCAATAATCTTCCATCATTTAGCCACTCCCCTATTTTTTGGATATACAGCTTCTACTTCGCCCAATTACATATAATTCTATAACAAATATCTTCATGCACACAACCTTTCATGTTTCATATTACTGCCCTATGATAAATTTCCAGAACTAGAACTATGTTAAAAAGTAACAAATTGCTTTTTTTTTTAAAGATTTTTATCTATTTATTTATTTGACATAGAGAGAGAGAGAGCATGAGCAGGGGGAGCAGGGGGAGCAGCAGAGGGGGAAGCAGACTCCCCGAGGAGCAGGGAGCCCGATACAGGCTCGATCTCAGGACCCTGGGATCATGACCTGAGCAGAAGGCAGCCGCCTAACCAACTGAGCCACCCAGGCATCCTAAAAAGTAACAACTTGCTTTCTAAGAGGGTTGTACAAATTTAAAATGCTAGTAGTTATTCCCAAATACTAATTTCACAGAAAATACCTATTTTTAAGTTTCTAATTTCATATAAAAATTGCATTTCAGTGTTCTAATTAGGAGTTCTTATACTACTAAGGAGGCTAACATTTTCTATTTACTAGATATATTTTCTCTCATCTCTATCTGTTCCTGATTGTCTAGCCTAGGTTAAGTCCTCCTTGTATGTATTCCCTCCTATACAACTCAGTACTTTCCTGCTTTCTCTTTTGCGACTATTAAATGCTTAACATCTGTCTTTCCCAATAAAGTAAGCTTGACAAAGGCACAAAACATTACTATCCGCTATATCCTAATCCCTAGCCAGGGTCTGGTAGAAAAGTGAATAAATGAAATGCTCCACTTATATCTTTGACAAAACAATCAGTATTTTATAGTTTAATTCTGTAGTAATTGAGTAAATAGAGTTCTTCACTTATCCAAATGAGTGATGTTTTCCCATATGTGATGGCAATTCAAGCAAAGTTCTAATTCTGAATATGTTATCAGTATCAGATCCAGTCCCTGATATCTGTTACTACATAAATAAAGGTTAACATTGACTGTACTTGTTAATGGCTTTCTAAATAGCTCTGGTTCAGCATGAAACAGGCAATAAATATCAGGTTATTCTAGAGTCTGAATGAGATTACTTAAGAAATAACATAAATAAAAGGACCACATGGTTAGATTAATATATCCAAAAGATAAATCTTTTTGGTAACCTCTAACAAGCCAACTAAAACAATTTTACACTTTTAACTAAAAATCCTGGATATTTCCTAAAAACAATTTTTTCCTTAGCTAGACTGTAGTTATCCCTTACAAAAATAACTCTTAGACTGGAGAAATTTTTCTGCAAAGCAAAGAAAGTAGTGTGAGGAGCCCAACTGTTACTCCTCTTGACCATTTCATAAAGAGAAAAACCTCAGCAAAATAGTTCAATATGCACCCTGTTAACCATCTACAAAGTTCAGATTATTGCTGATCATACTAGGGCTGATCATTTGAATCTGAGGGTTGTCTAGACCAGCACTGCTCAGATTGCCTGTGGGAAAGAGGCTAGTTTTGGTGTGTGAGTGTTTCAAGTTTCCACTCCACTGTTGACTGGTACTTTTTCCCCATTGTTGACTAATATTTTTAAAAAATACAATAAAAATAGAAGTTGCTAGAAAAATGATGATGTGTTTGGATGCTGTGGCAATGTCAAATTTGTTAACAAAACTTAGCAAAACTTCTAAATGCTTGCTTTGAACTTTTATACTTATCTTGAACAGTCTGCAGACCATTCTTCCGTAGCTCTGGTCTAGACTATGCTTTTTATTTTATGATAATATCATTACTCTTCAGTACCAGCACCAGGTTAGCATTTATGAACAGAAAAATTACTCCAACTAATTGTTACTTTCAATAGCTCCAACTAAATATAATCATAGAATCCTGGGATAAAGAATTACTTTAGAGGTTTATCTAGTCCACACTTTTAGTAAAGCACATATAAGAACATGATTTAGGATAAGAATGTTATGTAGGATGGAATGAAGAACAAAATCCATTAGTAAGCTACCAGGGACCATAGTCTCCATACCAACAACATGCTTTGGGTACCATCCTTTGTCATAGACTCCTGTCACTAATACTCCACAGATAATCTCTCCAACTTGTTAATAATGATGCCAAGATATGTCAAATGTCCTATGGAAACCAAGATAGCTTATGCCTTCAGGACTCACCTAATTTCCTTTTTTAGTGATATTTGAGGTTTAAGATAAGCTCTCCTCAAGAGATATATTTTAGCCAGAAATTTTATCAATTTCAAATGTCAATATTTTATATTACAATGATTGTTGTAAATATTCTATTAGTTAGAATTCTATTATATAAATATCTATTTTTATAGTTCATTTTTTATTTTTAATAAAAATAATTTATTTTTATTAAGCATCTAGTTATCCATTATCTAATTATCTATTATCTAACATTCTATTCTAAATATTTATCATTTACTTTTTCTAATCTCTTTTAGGATAAAGGCAATGAAATTAGTATCTAAGAAATTCTGGTCATTATCTTATTTGAAGATGTTTTCATAAAAAAAATCCTCAAGAGTGTTCTAGAAATAAAAGAACTACATGTCAAATGAGACAGTATAAAGTGGTCAGGCAGATATTTTTGGATGTAGCAATATACTGCATAAAAAACATTACCTTTTCATGGTGCTGATTCTCAGAAAGGGGACAAAGGGACACCAGAATCACCTACAAAAACTTTTTCACAATCATACTACTGCCATGTGTTGGCTCCTACCCGGCCTCCCCCAGTACAGTTGCATGGCCCAGTTATATTTGAAATAAATACTCCACTCCCATGAGGAGGTATACAGGCCTTACGATCACTTTTAAAGGGGTTAAAAAAACCCTTTACATTAAAATCCATCTTTAAGTAGAACCAATTTAACAAATATTGAGTATGTATTAAATGTTTAGTACCTACTAAAAGGCTCAGGTTTTGCCATTTTTTTGGTGTCTACCAGAAAGCTCTAGAGAAAATTTCCTGGCTTAATATTTTAAATTCAAACAGCACTTGAGAAAGACTTACCAATTTAAGCCAAAGACTAAGAAATCGGGGATCATTATAGTATCGTTTTTCTCCTTGTAGTGCTTCAACAGCTCTTTCTAATAATGTTGACATATTACTCTCTTTCCCCCCTTGAGGATAGTTCTGCTCTGTCCAATTAATATACCTGAATGCAAAGGAAAAGAATAATTTTATTTATTTATTTACTTACTTATTTATTTTTAAAGATTTTACTTGAGAGAGAGAGGAAGCAAGAGAAGAAGCAGGGGGAGAGGGAGAAGCAGACTTCCCCCTGAGCAGGGAGCCCACTGCGGCACTTGATCCTAGGACTCCGGGATCACGACCTGAGCCAAAGGCAGATGCTTAGTCAACTGAGCCACCCAGGTGCCAGAAAATAATAACTTTAATGTGTACTTTTATTCTTGCACCAAGACCCGTTCTTGACTTTCTTAAGCAGAAATATCTAATTTGAAAGTATGTTTATTTAGAGAGGCCCTCATGTCCTAAACCTATATCCCTCAAACTTTTCCAAATATTGCTAACATGTGCCTCTGGGAAATACTGGGTTTGGGGATAAAAGGGTGTAGTTCTCAGGTGCATGCCACAAATTTGAAATTTCTTCAGTCATGAACACCTCAGAAAGAAACACTGTGATTAATCTGTCTCTCTGTGTCCCCAGGATACCACTTTGTACTCTGACATTGCTCTGTACACCCTAATTTGAGAAACATGGCCATAAGGACTCATCTGTTAAGTTTCTAGTGCCCTTGTTAAATTAAAAAAGACCCACCTATCCCAAACATCCAGAGGGTCATTTCCAGTGTAAAATCGAATTTCAGATTCAAATGCCCTGAAATTTAAACAGAAAATGTTAGCATTAGCAATGGGGATAACAGCCAAATAAACAAGTGTCACCTTCATTTTTATTCATTTTTTAAGTGTTTAATATTGATCCAAATAACTGCACTGGAGTTTGAGGATTTATTAAACAGGAAGAAACATAGAAATAATCAAGCTACTGCCTGATAATATAACAGGAAGGACAAAACATGCGGAAATTAGATAAACAAATTCCAAAATAACATATAGAAAAACAGAATTACACAGCAGTTTAAGGCTCTGGAACAAGACTCCCTAGGTTCAAATTAGCAGCTCTACTAATAACTAGCAGAGTGACAATAGACAAGTGGTTTAAATTCTATTTTCAGTCTTCTCATCTGTAAAATGGGGATAATAATAAAGAAATCCCCCCTTTATCTGCAGGGGGATAGTTTCCAAGACCCCAATGGAAGCCTGAAATTGAGGATACTTCTGAAACTTATATATACTATGTTTTATTCCTGTACACACATACCTATGATAAATTTCAACTTATATATTAGTCATAGTAAGGGATTGACAACAATAACAAAATAGAACAACTGTAACAATATAGTATAATAAGAGTTATGTGAATGTGGTCTCTCTCTCTCAAACTATCTTGTACTGTACTCATCTTTCATCTTCTTCTTGTGATGATGTGAGATGACAAAATGCCTACACAATGAGATGAAGTGAGGTGAATGATGTAGGCATTCTAATGTAGTGTTAGACTACTACTGACCTCCTGACAAAATGTCATAAGGAGGATCGATCATCTGCTCCTGGGCCACAGTTGACAGCAGGTAAGTGAAACTGAGGAAAGTGAAATCACAGATCAGGAGGACTACTGTAGCACTTATCTTATTAGGTTGATTACTCTTAGTATAAAGTGTTTAGACATAATAAGCACTCAATAAATAATAGGAAGTACTGAGTAATAAAACACAATTTAGATAAATGTTTCATCAATAAAAACTGTAGAAAGGGTTACATTTGATACAAAGAACTATAAAATAGTTCCTGAGACAAAGGAATTTATACTCTAATAAGACAAAGAACACAAAGGGAAAATTAACTAACAATACAAAGCAGGATAGTGTATTATAATTGCCAAGAATGGATAGTAAAATCTTTGATAAGTCAAAAGGCGGTATCACAGAAGCAGCGTCAGAAGGTGGGACTCTGAAGGAACCACAAAATTTGAAAGAAAAATGGAGTTTTCCAAGATTGCCAAGAAATCAGTATTGAATAAAGTTGTAAAAGTGGGAGAGTTTATCCAGAGGAAACTGAGCTATAAGATACAGTTAGTATTAGGAACAAATGGAGATAGTTGTAAAAGTGGGAGAGTTTACCCAGAGGAAACTGAGCTGTAAGACACAGTTAGTATTAGGAATAAATGGAGATAGGAACAGTAAGGGATTAACCTTACAATGATGTACATACATACATACAACCGTGCTCCAGGAGCAGATGATCCTCCTTCTGACATATTGTCAGGAGGTCAGTAGTAGTCTAACACTATGTTAGAATGCCTACTGGAAAAGTAAGAAGGGCACATTTTTTTTTTAAGATTTTATTTATTTATTTGACGGAGAGAGAGAACACAAGCAGGGGGAGCAGCAGTCAGAGGGAGAGGGAGAAACAGACTCCCTGCTGAGCAAGGAGCTTGATGCGGGGCTCAATCCCAGGACCCTGGGATCATGACCTGAGCCAAAGGCAGATGCTTAACTGACTGAGCCACCCAGGCGCACCAAGAAGGCATGTTTTAAATGTAAATTTAAAGACTTTGGGCACCTTGCTGGCTCAGTCTGCGGAGCATGCAGCTCAGGGTTGTGAGTTCAAGCTCCACGATGGCATAAAGATTACTTCAAAAAAATAAAACTAAATTAAAAATAAAGACTTATTTTTAAAATAATATATTTTTAAATATATTTAAATATATAAATATAAATATAGTATATATAAAATAATATATAAATATATAAAATAATAATATACATAAAGATATATAAAATAAATATAAATAAATAATAAAAATAATTTAAAATTATTTTTAAAATAATAATTAAAAAATAAAGCAGGGTTCCACCTGCTCAAGCCACTACTGGTTCTTTAATTGGAGAGTATCTTGAATATGTTAAGTAAAGATTTCAAAAAGATCAATTAATATTTTAAGAATAGAAGAAATTAGAAAAGGAACAATTATGAAGCTAATATGGTGATTTAAGTATGAGATAATGAGGTGATTACCTACAGAAATAGTGAAAAAATAAAATCTAAGACAAAATAAAATCAGCAATCCTCCCAATGTATCTATAGATGCAATGCAATCCAACCAAAATCTCACAAGACCCTTTTCTAGAAACTGACAAGATGATTTTAAAATTTGTTTGGAAAAGCAAAGGACCAAAAATAGCCAAAATAATTCTGAAAAAGAACAACAAAGCTGGAGAACTCACTTTGCCCGAAGTCAAGATTTATTATATAAAGCTAATCAAGACAATGTGTAACTGGTGAAAGGATAAGCAATTAGATCAATGGAAGAGAACAGAGAGGCCAGAAATAATCCACACATATACAATCAAATGATTTATTTTTTCACAAGGGAATTTGCATAGAGCAATTCAGTGGGGAAAAAGAAAATAATCTCTTCCAACAGATGGAGGCAGAACAACTAGAAATCCTTATTGGGGGTGGGGGAAGAACTTTTACCCCTGCCTTACACTATACACAAGGATAAATTTAAGATGAATCATAGACTGAAACATAAAAGCTAAAACAATAAAGCTACTAGAAGAAAACACGAGAGAATATCTTTGCAAATTTGGATCTTTGCAAAGATCTAAAGACAGAAAAAACACTAACCATAAACGAAAAACAGTAATTCATTAAACTTCCTCTAAATGAAAAACTTGTGCTTATCAGAAAACACCACCATGAAAATAGGTAGCCATGAACTGCAAGAAAATGTTTGCAACACATTATTTGATAAAGGTCTTATATACAGACTATATAAAGGTCTCTTGCAACCCAATTTTAAAACTGGGCAAAATGTCTGAACAAATATACCACAAAAGAAGATATATAAAAGGCCAATAACCATGTGAAAAAGTGCTCACATCATTAGTCACCAGGGAAATGACAAATAAAACCATAATGAGATACTATTACATACCCACCAAATGAAAAAAGACTGACACCACCATATACTGAAGTGGATTTGGAGCAAGCGAACTCTCATACATTGCTGACAGAAGTGTAAAATGTTATAATCTCTTTGGAAAACTGCCAGTTTCTTAAAAGTTAAACACACGTTTATTCTTTGACCCATCACTTCTATTCTAAGAGAAATGAAAATGTTCACAAAAATCCTTGTACAAGAATGTCTACAGCAGCTTTATTCATGAAGCACAAAATTGTAAAGCATCTACTGTCCATCAATTGATAAATGGATAAACAAATGGAATACAGCTCAGTAATAAAAAGGAATAATCTACTGATCATGCAACATGAAAGGCCTAACAAAACATGCTGAGTGAAACAACCTATGACCCCATTCATATAAGCTTCTAGAATAAGCAAAAATAACCTATGATGATAGATATCTGATCACTGGTTGCTTCATGAGGAGGGGAAGAACACTGATTGGGAACGGGCATTGAGAGAACTTTTGGAGGTAATAAAAATGTTCTCTGTCTTGAAATGCATGTCAAAACTAATTAAATGGTAAACTTAAAAATCTGACCATTTCATAGCATGTAAATTATACTTTAAGAAAAAAAATCCCCAGACCTTACTAACTAACTAAATAAAATTAGGATGAGAGGGCAACGAGTAAAATCATTCAAGTGAGTTTTGGTATCATTAACCAAAATGGAAAGGCCATTTATGAGAGAAGAGATTAGTATTTAATACACTAGTGATTATATATTACAGGTAGATAAAAAGACATTTAGAAGGCAAATAAGAGACGTAAATAGTAGTTAAACAATCCTGAAAAATGTGAATTTGTAAGGACACATAGAGCAATGAACAAAAGACTTAGGTAAAATGCAGTAGGAAGCCAGTAAGAAAAAAGGAAGGTTAGAGAAGTGGAAACACTAGTAAAATGTCACAGAAACCAGGAAGAAGAGTTAAGAATAGAATACCACCATCTCTGAAATAAAACTCAATGCTTTTAAAGATCCAATGAGATGAGTGAGGATATTCATTATATTATAACCCGAAGTTTTGAAATTGCCTATGACGGTGAAATTTTTTTGTCAGAGATTAAAGGTAGAAACTGATGCTTTAGTTCACTTTTTTGAAAAAAGTGTATTTATCAAAACATGTATTAGTCAAAAGAAACCAAGTTCTGTAGCTCCATTTGAATAACGTAGTACAGTTGACTCTTGAACAACATGGGTTTCAACTACATGGGTCTATTTATATGTGGATTTTTTTCAATAGTGTACAGTACTGTAAGCATATTTTCTCTTTATGATTTTAACATTTTCTTTTCTCTAGCTTACTTTATTGTAAGAATACAGTATATGATATATATAACATACAAAATAGGTGTTAACTCTTTATGTTATTGGTAAGGTTTCCAGTCAACAGGCTTTTAATAGTTAAGTTTTGGGAGTCAAAATTTACACGTGGATTTTCTACTGCACGGGGGGTCAGCACCCCTAATCCCTGGTGTTATTCAAGGGCCAACTGTAGTATTTTTCAGCTTTTCCTTTTTCAGACTTCATTAAATCATTCATGAGAAACATTCTAGTATAAATTTAATTTCTCTCAGGTTTATATTTTCTTTGGAGATCACTATTTCTTTTTGGTATACTCTCAAAAATGTTTTCCTAGAAAGTAAAAAATTGAGTATACATACAAGATAGCAGATTCCCCTTTCCCTCACTACTCAGAATCCAAGGAAGCAATTTCTTTAACTGATTACTATTAAAGAGTTAATTCCATTTAGGGATCCAGCATGACATTATACTTTTGATAAATATTGTTTAGTATGGTATTTCCTTTCCTTTGCTTCTCATTGTCCCCTGTATAAGATCTATTTCTATTGATACAAGAGTTTCGCTGCTCCATAATGAAATGAAATCCTATAGCTCTTGTTCTTAATCATACTCAAGGAGATCTTTAGGTAGCTGTTGTGTGATGAAAAAGCAGGTGGGAAACAGATTCTCACACTATCAATTTTTGAAAAGTATTTCTTATGCCAATCTGCATGGATCCATATCTCCATTATCATCCCGCCTTGAGGATGAATGACAGGGTGATCCCCCACCACTCTACACACCGTTTCTGTTGCTGAAGAGTAGCATTAGAGGCAGATTCTTGCTGCGCCAATGCTCCCTGAAGTGTGGACATGATCCGCCCCTGCCTTAACGGTTGGACATTTTCTTTACTCAGCTCCCACTCATCTCCCTCCAAGGACATGGCTTCACTGTAAAGAGAGAAATAAAAGTAGATTTCATACTTATATGTATATATAAACATATATACGTATTATTATATCACTGGATTATTGTAAATGTTTTCAAATAAGTGACTATTCATGATCTTTGGGCTGAATATGGTGGGCTGGCACATTAGTAGTGTTCTTATACGCCTAAGTGTCTGAGCCTTTCTGTGACCTGGATTCCAAGTTTATGGCTGTAGTATTGCCTAACAGAAGAGAGAATCTAACTACGGTACTGTGGACAGTTATAAGAATAAAGTTTAAGGCAGGAAGAAAAGAAGGGGAAAAAATTATAAATTCGGCAAGGTGGACAAAAAGCAGTTCTATGCTTACCACTAAATGCATCATCTCGTATAGTTTAAAATTAGCCAACCGGGGTGCTGGGGTGGCTCAGCTGGTTAAGCATCTGACTCTTGACTGAGGCTCAGGTCATGATCTCAGGGTTTTGGGATTGAGCCCCACGTTGAGCTCTGTGCTCAGCATGGAGTCTGCTTGTCCCTCTCCCTCTGCTCCTCCCCTTGCTTGTGTGCTCTCTCTCTCAAATAAATAAATAAATAAAATCTTTTTAAAAAAAATTAGCAGTTTGCCAGACTAACACCCCATGTTTCAACTGATGACTTAAAACTGAAGTGTATATGTATATACAGGTAGCCCAGAGCAGAAGCAGACAAAAATACAATTTACTGGTCACAACTGCCCCCCCATTCCATCAAGCCTACTGATGGGAAAATTCCCACAAGTTTTTTGGAGGCAATCACCATATGGGGTATGCGTTCTGAACTTCAGAGCTCTGCAACTGACAGATAGAAGCCTACTTCTGTCTGAGAGATACCATCTCCGGGCTTAAAACAGAGAAACAAGTACTAATCTTCAAAACAAAGTGAAAGTTACATGTGACCTCAGTCTAGATGAGAGCTGAAAACTCTCAAGAAGGTAAACTGTATGTGATTAATAATTTAGGTTGTAACTACTCACATCTTTTTAACCATATTGTGTGCATCTTATAAATGTAAGGGCCTTGTCATTTATTTTCACAACCCTGATGGTCTGACTGTAGTAAGCACTGAATAAGTGTTTGCTGAGTTCATCTGAATTTCTTCTCTTGATCTTGAAATAGCAATGAAACTACCTCAGCTAATGTCCCAAACTGAGCTGGGACTGCTCCCCTCATTCCTTGCCCCCTTGCTTCCTTCCAGACCTGCTCCTCCCACAGTCTTCCTTCATCTCAAATAAATGGCACTTTCATTTTTCCAGTTGCTTACCACTAAATGCATCATCTCATTTAGTTTCCAGTTGCTCAAGCCAAAATCACAGTGCCAACCCTGACACCCCTCTCATTATCCCCCACCTCCAGTTACCTGGCAAATCCTACAAGCTCTACCTTCAAAATAGATTCAGAAATCAACCTCTTATCATCCCCACTGTTTCTAGCCTGGCTCAAGCTAATATCTTCTCTTGCCTGGATTATTTCAATAACCTCATAAGTGGTCTCCCTGCTTTCATCCTTTTCTGCTTTAGTCTTTTTGACACCGCAGCCAATGATCCTATTGAAACTCGTATCAGATCCTGTCTTTCCTCTGCTCAAAACCTTCCACTGACTTTTGAACCAGAGTAAAAGCCAAGTCTTGACAATCTCCACATCCTTGCCTTTACCTCACCCTTCATTTCCTTTTACTCTTCTGGTTCACTTGGCTCCAGCTACTTGCCAGGTGCAGCTCCCTCCCCCAACCCTCACCCTCCAAATTTCTGTACTTTCCCCAGATACGTGCTTGATTAGCTCTTAAGTTTCCTTCAAGTCTTTTTTTTTTTTTAAGATTTTATTTATTTATTTATTTGAGAGAGAGAGAGAGAGCAGAGGCAGGGGGAGCAGCAGAGGGTGAGGGAGAAGCAGACTCCACGCTGAGCAGGGAGCCCAATGCGGGGCAGTTTCCTTCAAGTCTTGACCCGGATGACACTTCTCAGTGAGGCCCCCTGTTCAAAACTATCTAAAATTGCACCAATCCCCCTGCTCCCCACCGTTTTCGTTCTTTTCATACTGACCATCTAGCTTTTAGTTTATTGATCTTGTTTATTGTCTGCTGCCCCCACCCTCATCCCACCCCAGAAATTAAATTGCACAAGGGCAGGGATTTTTGTGTCTTTTGTTTATTTGCCATATTTAGTGCTTAGGAGGTAGTCAATAAATATTTGTTGCACAAGTTAAGAGTTCTCCACATGGTATTTATCTAAGTATTGTGCACCCCATAATGAAAATGCATAGCTCAGGGTGCCTGGGTAGCTCAGCAGGTTAAGCATCTGACTTGGCTCAGGTCATGATCTCAGGGTCCTGGGATGGAGGCCCCCCACCCCAGGGCTCCCCACTCAGCAGGGAGTCTGCTTGTCCCTCTGCCCCTCCCCCTGCTCATGCTCTCTCTCTTTCACATTCTCTCTCAAAGAAATAAATAAATAAATAAAATCTTTAAAAAAAATAAAATGCATTCAGAATTCCAACCTAGAAGAATTGATATGTATTTATATAAGGAAAAGCAGCAAGCATGCAGAGAAAGGCTTTTTATATTTCTAAGTATGCCATTGACATGGAAGCACCTACCATTTGTTTGGCACTTATTTGGAAGCAGTTACTTTACACATACTTTGAATTCATCAGCATTTTCCATATTTTTTTTTAAAAGATAACTGTGGTTTTATTTACAAGATTACAGTATGATTTCAATTTAAGTAGCAATTTATTATATCTCTGCTATCCTTTTTTATTTAAATTCAATTTAATTAACATATACTGTATTATTAGTTTTAGAGGTAGAATTCACTGATTCATCAGTTGCATATAACACCCAGTCAGTGCTCATTAAATCCAGTGCTCTTCTTAATGCCCATCACCCAGTTACGCCACCCCCCCCACCAGCATTTTCCATACTAAGACGAGTCCAAGGTCAAAGAGCCAGGAAATGGCTGAGCGGAGATACACAGACCACACTATAAATTCCAAGTTTTTTGTGCCATTGGGGTCGCAGAGACTCCTCTGCTTTGAAGCTGGGTGCAGCAGGGTTCTCACGTGCCCTCACCCCACGGAGGTCGATGCTAACTAACTAACCCTGTCTTCACCTCCAACCCTGGCGCCCAACCCCAGCAGGAGGGAGGCTCCAGCCTGGCCGCTCTTCTCCCAACTGTGTTTCTCTGGACTGCTCTGAGCGGAGCCTCTGTCACCGGCTACACCATCGGGTCTCGCAGGCACAGCTCCCGGCAACCTTTCTCGGGTACCTACCTCGGGGCACCCCCTTCCTTCTTCATCGCCGCCATCCTGCATTCCCGGTTCAGGCCCTCGTCCTGCCGCAGGCCTTTCTTCAGGGTCGCAGACCGCCTGGGCCTCCTTCTGCAACTTGCCCTTCGAGGTAACGAAGCGACCAGAGGGACAAAAGTTTGCACCTGCTTCCTTGGCAAAACAGCCACCTCAAACCCTCCAAGTTTCAAATTTAACGGTCCCGCGCGGCCGACGTGAATACGCCCCTTCGCCCCTTCGTACTCGCGTATCTCTCTCCCAAGGAATTCTGGGGCTTGTAGTTTATACCAGGTTTAGTCCACGCAGTCGCGATGCATAATGGGAGTTGTAGTTTCCGGGGAGTCTGTGGCCGCTCAGTAGGCGCAGGTTGAGGCGGTGTAAATTCTCTGCAAGTGCTCTAAAGCAAGTCTCTGAGCCCATCGAGGGACACTTCAAGCACCAGAACTTCTTTGATGTTTTGAGCATAGAGAGATACCTTTGAGTGCTTGCCCTTGGCTTGAAACTTCTTGGGTGGCTGGCCAGGCTGAGTTCACCCCTTGCTGTCTGATTCAAGTTCCTCCCACGTCTAGAGTTCTTAGGGCACCCTGACCCTAAGGGTATTTCCTGCCTAATTTTGAATTCAGAAAAGCTGGACTCTAGTTCTGTGAAAATCGTAACAAGTGTGCATCCTTAGGCAAAGCCATATAGTCTCTCTGACCTTCAAATTTCTCATCTCTACTGCACAGTCCACAGGCAGAAAATACAGCTATGCCTCATCTCCCAAGGTATGGCGTCTTTTCCTCTTCAGGGCAGCAGCCTCCACTGGCACTGGACTCTTAGTCCCCGTTCCAGTTTCTTGAGGAAGAAAATATGGTGGGCTTAGTTGTGGCCAGGGGAGCAGGGGCTTTTGAACGAACCCAGGTACAAGGGAGTCATCCTCCTGTGAACCTGAGGGTGGTGAGGGTGGCAGTTCCCAGAGAAGGGAGCTGGGAGTAGGTGTTCACTGCTCCTTGCCTCTTGGTTCTCAGGTTTCTCCACCATGTTTTTTTAAGATTTTATTTTTAAGTAATCTCTACACCCAACATGGGGCTCAAACTTAACAACCCCGATATCAAGAGTTGCACGCTCTACTGACTGAGCCAGCTGGGTGCCTCTCCACCATTTTCTCATACTATATAAGCTTTTCTTTCTTCCACATCATCAGGACTTTTGATTGCGATGGAATGAGAATCCAAATCAAACTGACTTCCTCAGAAAAGGGAGTTTATTGGCTCATATATAAAAGACTTCAGATGACACTTAACCCAGGACTCATGTGGTGTCACCAGGACTGGGACCCTCTCCATTTCTCACCTCTGCTCTTCTTTATGTTAGTTTATTGTCATTCTCCACTGAGTAACAGCTATAGGACTTGGTCTTTCCAGGTTCAAGTTCAGACTCAGAAGTCACTCTCATTTGCCACCCCCCGCCCCACTGTCACTGGAACTAGCAGATTCAGGGCTCTAATTGTTCAAGCCCAGATCATGTGTTTCATCTTGGGAGGAGAGAGGGGAAGGGGTGGTTCCCTACAGGAAATTTTGGTTTCTCTTTGCTTCTAAGTGTTTTACATCCAAGAAGACTTCCTGGATTATGAGAGAGGTGATATATGGGATTCTCTCTTTGGCTCATTTTATCTCTCACCTCACACCAGTACTGACCTAGCCCCTCATTTCCTTTCCCCAGAGTGTCCTGTTCACATCCACAACTCCTTAATTCCGTTTGCTTCCTATAAACCATCTTGGAAGACGTAGCATTTGCTCTTTTGATCTGTCTTGCTCATAACCTAGTCAGAAGCTCCACAAATTGTGGTACAACATGGAACCCTTTCAGGCTAAACTCTGCTTGTTTCACCAGACAAGGGAGACAGGTTTTTTTTAAAAAAAGGTATGACAGAATGTGCTGTATGGTCTTACTGGGAAAGTGAGTTCTTGTTGGGCTGGACTGTGGCTGAGTGGTGATATGAACCTCAGCAGCACTCACTGATCATGAAGAAAGTCAGGATTAAGCTCATACACATTTCTGGTCCAAAGAGGGTGAGACAGAGGCTCAGCCTGAGTCCTTCAATGTGCCGAGCATGGGTGGGGCACAGAAGATGTGAACAGTGAACCGACACAGCTCTTGTCCTCTAGCAACTTCAGGCCAGTGGGAGAGACAGACAAATAAACAGGTAATTTCACTACATTGCTGCCACAACCAGAGGTAAATGAACACAAGAGGCCACGGGGGCACATGGAGGACCTTCCAGCCCAGGCGTGGGGGAGAGGAGGTCAGGGCCAATTTTGTAGAAAAGATGGCCAACCTGAAAGGTAGGAAAGGTTTGGCACAAACTAATGAGCAACACAGGCTGAGTCGCAGCTGAAGTTTCTCTCCACTATGTGTCCACTTCCTCTTCATTCCCCACTCTCTCCACTGACTTCCTGTACTCAGAGCTCACCCCTTTAGACCTCCGTGCCGGCCCACTAAAGCTTGCCTGTCCTGTGTGCTGTTCTCTCTCACCTAGCTATCACATTGAAAACAGGAACTAAGTCACACTGAGATGTTAATAGCAGTTAATGCTTTACTGCAGTATTTTCCACATCATGTTCTAAGATGTTAGCAGATGTTACAGGGGAATAAAAAGTGTGGTTTTCAAATAAGTTTCTTTTTTTTTTTTTTAAAGATTTTATTTATTTATTTGAGAGAGAGAGAGAATGAGAGAGAGCACGAGAGGGAAGAGGGTCAGAGGGAGAAGCAGACTCCCCGCTGAGCGGGGAGCCCGATGCGGGACTCGATCCTGGGACCCCAGGATCATGACCTGAGCCGAAGGCAGTCGCTTAACCAACTGAGCCACCCAGGCGCCCTCAAATAAGTTTCTGAAATGCTGACTTACATGGGTATCTCTACTTAAAGGTTCCCTCGAGCCTTTAATATGCCAACGTGCACTTTGAATCTCTAAGGGAAGGTACCCCTTCCCTTTTAGTTTTCTACTGCTGCTGCAACAAAATATCATAAACTTAGTAGCTTAAAACAATACAGATTTATAATCTTACAATTTGACAGGTCAGAAGCTTGCCTCCAGCCTCACTGGGTTAAACAAGGTGCCAGTAGGACTGTGTTTCTGGAAGCCCTTTGGGAGAATTTGTTTCTTTTTTTCCAATTTTTAGAGGCATTCACAAGTATTCTGTCACTGGTGGCCCCCTTCCTACATCTTCAAAGCCAGCGACACGCATCTGTCTGATTTGGCTCCTGTATTACCATGTCTCTTTCTCTGACCATAGTCAGGAAAATCTCTCTGCTTTTAAGGGCTCATGTAATTATATTGGACCCATCCAGATAATCCAGGCTAACCTTTCTATCTCAAAGTCCTGAATGTTAATCACATCTGCCAAGTCCTTTTTGCCACAGGTTCCATGGATTAGGACATGGACATCTTTAGGGGCGACGGTGGTGCCAAAACATGTTGGTGTCTCTGAACTCATTTGGCCACGCTTTTTGCACATCTTTCAGAACAGACTTTGGGCTCTTTGTATTTCAACAGTCGGCCCCAGGAGAAGAAAATTCATAAAGGAATAAATCTTAGTGGCGGAATTTCAGGCATAGTGGCGACGGGTAGCGGTTGGGGACTAGCAAGCCCTGCGTTTTTACACATTTGCTTTACATGCAAAGCCACACTTAATCTGCATTAGTGGCTGTTAGAAGGATTTAGTTGTCAGAAAATCTATGACCTCTTGCTTGGTCTTGTGGAGATGTGTGTGTTCTTGATTATCAAAGGTTGATTTCCCCCAATTTTGCCTTCATGAATTATATGAAATCCTACTTTAGCAGGCTAACCACTGCAAAGATGAAAACCTCTGGGTCTCCCCAGGGAACCCTTGGATGGCCTGATTGTTTACTGTGTAACCACAAGAGGAAGGAGGGACTATCTGGGGGTGGGAGGAAGGTCAAGAGAGACTGAATGAGGGTGTGTATCTTCAGGGCCTGAAGGAGACCACATCTGGGAAAGCAGAATCACCCTGCTGGCCTTTACCCCAGCAACAGATCAGCCAATCAGGGCAGGAGCTGCATCTTGTCTTTACCAGTGATGAGGTGTCTTGAGGTAGAAGAACCAATGAGAAGGAAGCATAATAATCCAAACCATCTTGCGTTTGCAGGAGGAAGGGAGGTGAAGGGTGAAAAGATGCGTTAGCCCAGGGCTGGGGACTACTGGCAGCTACCCAGTTGCATCTCACAGTAGCTGTTGCTGACAGGGTATTAGGGAACGCTCCAAGGAACTGGGCTTCTCTCTCTTCAAGTCCATGGAAACTCTTTTCTGAACTATGTTTCTGCTTTTCTGCAGAACTACCCTACTTTCATGGGTCTTCTCAGACCACTGGAAATTGCCTGACCCAGAATTTCCATACTGATATACAAAAAATGTGCATGCTGAACGAGGCAATACCAGGTATCAACTTTTCTTCATCTGGCAGAAACAACAACAACAACAAAAGGTCGGAATGGACCACAAGCTGAGAACTGGAGCAATCACACGGCAGGGCTGTTGAGAAATGGGGTAAGATGCGGCGCTCAATAAACTATGTAGTTAATAGGAAGTACACATTTGGGCTGTTTTGCCCTGCCATTATCCTGATCAGAGTTTTGTGCTCCAGGAAGGCTTGGGAGAGCACTGGGGGGCTGCTCCATGTCTGGACATCAGCACCCTCCCAGCAGAGGTGAAATATCCTCCAGTGGCCTCAGAAGTAGAGCCATGAACCAGGGAACTGAAGCAGGAAAGGAAGAACGTGGCAGATGCTGGGTGGTAACTGCGGGAATGACTCGTTGATGAGCCCAAGAGCTCTGGAAGATACCCAGACCACCTAGGGGAGGCTGTGAAAGGGGGGCTGGATCAGGACCACATACTTAGCTGTACAAATTATGCCATGCCCAAGGGCACCCATCCAGAGGTACAGATGGGACACTTTTTCCTGCTTTGCTCACTCAGAGGAGGCACTTCTAAAAGTTCTGCTCAGAGGGGCCTCCATTTTCTAAGTTACGGAAAGCACGGTGTCTGCTCGCTGTGGCCCTGGGCCTAGCGGATTTTATGGAGGAGCCGGTGGAGTCTTCCTCACTTGTGTTCATGTAGCTCCACAGCAGTGAGGCCTATCTATCCTTATGTGAGGGGTGGTGATCCCACGATAGGTGAACAACAGTTGGGATGGTTCTTGGCAGAGCCACGCGATGTGGGGA